TGGTTGAGATTTAAAATGAGTGATTGTGGGTGATATGAGATTTGAGGGCCCACCTCAAATGCATGTATTGAATAAAGTTTTGGAACAAAAAAACGATGAATTCTCCAGAATACATGAATTCAAAGAATCATTCATTTAGAATCATAACTTCCAAAGGACCCCCTAATAGTACAATGATGTTTGATTGGGGAACGGATCAGGTCAGTAACCTTATGGTGAGTAACCATGAGTAACCTATCCACATCATCATGACATTAGCATCTCTCTCTCTCTCCTGGAAAGTCTTTAATTTTCCCCTCATTAATCTTTGACAGACGATTTCTCACTTGTTTTAAGTCGAAATTTAATTTTTTTACACAGTTAGATCATATTAATTTTGCTCTTCAAAATGATATCCACTTTGATATATTTTTCGAACAAAAAAAAATTGAGCTATTTTTTACCAGTTTATACCATATGGTAATGACTGGTATTGAAATAAGAGCATACCTATGGTTTGAAAAGTGTACCATGATGGTATGAACAAACCAAAACTGTAGGATGGTTACATGATAGTAGAAATATATTAACTGTCATTTACGACTTTTAACATTGTGTAGTCATTTACAACTTTTAACATTGTGTACTTTAAGATACCACCCCGTACCAGGGTGGTATTGTGTGGTATTGTTTTTTCTTGTAATTTGTTCACCCAAAAATTTGTAGACCCAATAGATCATGATGAACTCATCCCTTCTGTGAAAACGTTTTCAACAATGAATTAAAAACGAAGAAAATAGCATATGGTATGCGGTTGGTACTGAGAGGCAAGAATTTTTTGTTCTCGAAAAATATTGAAAATTGATATCATTTTGTAGAACACGATGAAATCGTTCCACCTGTGCAAAAAAAAAAAAAAATTTAAAATCCGAGTTAAAACGAAAAAGATATGAGACGATTAAGAAAACTAGAGAAAATAAAAATGATCTTTAATTCTCCATCCTTAGATCTGAATTTTCTAAATGAAGGGCCCAGATTTGGTTATTGATAAATGCATAACCCATGATTATGCACCCTATCTTGAGTACTTTGTTTGTGTCTCCCTTGTCATATATGTTTATAATGATTAAATTTAGATACGGTGGATACAAAAAATACTCAAATGTTCAAGCACGAGCAAACATAGATCGAAAGGGAAAGGAAGAAAAATGTAACTAAATCATGCTCAAGATCACAACAAATTGATATTATTTTCACAAGTACAAAGTGAACATTACATTAACAATCTAACATACTAATTGTTATTTTGGTAAGTGAAAAGTGAATATTGGTCAATTTTAGTATTTGAAAAATTAAATATTATTATATATTTTCATAATTGTCCTCTCCCTTGCGTCTCAATAATCTTTGCCTAAATATGAAGCTGGTGGTTCCTTGAATATGAATATATTTGCATCAAATCCCATCAAGAAAAAAGTTTATAGAAGGAAAAAAAAATGGCAGCCTCCACCCAGGGTGTTTATGATCGAGTGGCGGAATTGAAAGCTTTCGACGAAACCAAAGCCGGCGTGAAAGGTCTAGTCGACGCCGGGATAACTGAGGTGCCTCGCATCTTCCACATCCCGCCTCACCTTGTGGACCGCCGACCACCGCCACCGGCTGCCGACGATCCAGACTTCATCTTCCCTACCATTGACCTTATGCAAGGCGGCGGTAGTGACGCATTACTAGACCCTGAGAAGCGGAAGCAGATCGTGGAGGAGATAAAAGGTGCTTCGTCAGAGTGGGGATTCTTCCAAGTGGTCAACCACGGAATCCCCGAGAAGCTGCTGGAAGAGATGAGAGCTGCAGCCCGCGGGTTCCACGAGCTGGATCTGGAGCAGAAGAAGGCATACTTCCAGCGTGGCCTCGGCGAAACCGGCAAGGTCTTTTACAACAGCAACTTGGACTTGTACAAGACGCAGTTCGCCAGTTGGAGGGACGGCGTCTACTTCAATATGGCGCCAGATCCACCCAGCCCTCAAGAAATCCCCGCTTGCTGCAGGCAAAAAAAAAAAAAAAAGAAGCCTTTTTTGTGACCTTTTTTTCTTCTGGTTGTTATAGAATTGGCATTTGTAACCAACAAAAATCTTTTGATTAATTGTGCAGGGAAGTCCTGATTGATTACTCTAGGGAAGTACTTAAATTGGGGGGTTTTATTCTGCAATTGTTGTCGGAGGCTCTAGGTCTTGCGCCAAATCATTTGAACGACATGGATTGTTCCAAAGGGTTGTATGTGGTGTGCCAGTACTACCCGGCTTGCCCTCAGCCGGAGTTGACCCTTGGCACAGTCAGTCATCGCGACGACGACTTTATAACACTCCTTCAACAGGACGACATTGGAGGCCTTCAGGTTCTTTATCGAGATCGTTGGGTCAACGTGCCGCCTTTGCCCGGGAGTCTAGTGGTCAACGTTGGAGACTTTCTTCAGGTAAAAAGCAGGCTCGTGATATCTCGTAAATTTGTGCTTCCAACTTTTACAACATCGTCTAACAATATATTGATCCTGGTTATACCTACTTAAAAAAAATTTCAGCTTCTATCCAATGACAAGTTCATAAGTGTAGAGCATCGCGCGGTATTGCAAAACATCGGGCCTAGAGTATCTGTGGTGTCCTTCTTTTCACATGGATTCGCACCGAATCCTCGTATGTACGGACCCATAAAAGAATTGTTGTCGGAAGACAATCCTCCAAAATACAGGGAACTCTCGATTCGAGAGTTCACTTCATACATCTACGAAAAGGGTGTTGGAGGCCTTTCCATTCTGGAAAATTTCAAGCTCTGAAAAGGGAGGGGGGACCTTTGAGCAATATTATATGCAGACAGCTGGCAGGTTTGTTCAATAATGAGTTGGAGATTGGGTAATACTTCATGGAAGGACTCAAGTATTTCAGGAGCTACTCTTTTGCCCATCCATTTCAGCATTTTTTTTTTATTTCTCTTCTTTCTTTTTAATGATGTACGTGTTGAACCCGAACCAACCGGTTGAGCAACATGTCGACCCAATCGCCCACCACGCTCGGGAATATATCTACAACCTTAGTTGAACTCGAGAATCAAACTCTGGGTGGTGGAGATGAAGATGTTTGGCGCCAGAAATTGAGAAGTTCCGAATTTCTTTGTTTAAGTGAATAAGAAAACTTGCCGCTTGTGGTTTATTTATGTTTAATCCTCGAAGTGTATGTTTGCGTCAGTTGAGTAATTTTAGGCTAAAAGTCGGCCATGACTTTGAGTCCAAGTGTGTTGGTAGCGATATATAGCTGATTTTCAGGGTTGCTACGCTCGTCTTTAGCAAACTTCACCAAAACGAAATAATAATTCAACCAATTATTATTTTCCTGTTACGGCGACTAAAAACTTAACCAAACAACATTTATGTTAATTCTATTATTCTAAAACATTTTTCGGATCGATTATGTTCCGATGAATGAAAGGCTTGGTGCATGAGCAAGCTATGTACGTAACATATACTAGATTTGGGCCTGCCCGTTGGCCAGATGAATTACATCAATGATATAAACAATAATGGTAATTTTCCGAACCAATTTACATTTTCATTTGCTATCATGAAACAACTCAAATTATTAAATTACAAAAAAATAATATCAGAAAGCAACATACATCATATTTTTTACGGATATCTTGATCATTAATGGACAAAAGTCTTTATCAAAAGTAAAAAACACAACTCATGTCGGGAACTATTCATAAAACATTGAATATTCAAAATGCATGGTTTACTCTTCGCTAATAAAAATTACCACAAATTTCATTTTGGGTGCCTTTGCGATTGCTTTGCCATCAAAAGCATCTTCTCCACACAACTTCATCTTCATTAAAGAAACCTTTATTATCATTGAAATTTATATATAAACCATCAATAATCTCTTCTTTATCTCAATAACGTCATCATCTCCATCACTGAATTCACTAACTCCACAATTAGCATAATCTTCCTTCTTCTCCTACATTTCACCGAATGCAAATATTTAATGGCAAAATATTTGTCTGATATTGCTCTTCTTCACCTTTCATTATCTTAAAAAATGTGACCCCCTTATGGGGTTCGCAATGTTATAATGCATGAGTTTGATCTGAAAATTTAACTCATTCTCTCAAGTTGTAGGGGATAAGGAGGTGATGGTTCACTCATTTTGTCACTATCTTTGAGTAGTTTCTCAATAGACGTTTCACAAAACATAGATACAAATCTATAAAGTTAGATTAAACAATGTTGTCTACAACTCGGAGCTGAATCCTAAATCTATATAATAATAGTAGTTAAGATACACTATTTGGTTGAAAACTTTATATTTTAGTGGGTACGATTATCTTCTCGAATGAATAAACTTGGAGTTAAAAATTATTGAACAATATAGGCAGATTATTACCGAACTACTATTGTCTTTGAGGTTGTTGTACAATTCTTAAAAAATATCTCATCGTAGTATTCTCAACATTTCTTTGGCACATTTCAATTCATATGACTTTTATAAATCTTTGTTTTATAAAGCAGAGTTAAAATGAATGAGATATAGTTTGTTGAATTTGCAAGAAATTGAAAAACTCTTAACTATAGCTATTGATATTTGTCCCGACAATAACTAAAGGAGGTTATGCATCAAAATCCTAACTCTTTTTTTCATGGGATGTTTGGAGATAGAGCTGGAGCACTGTTTTGTCAATTATATGATTTTTCATGCATAATATTTTTCGAGGCATAGAATCAGCAAATAAAGTAATCAATTTTGTAGCTACTGTTTTAATCATTCGCTTGAGATAGGGATGACAACAAAACCCGAACCCATGGGTACCCACCCGACCCAACCCGGTCAACGCGGGTAAAATCCGTGTTGACTGGTTTTGGGCCGGGTTTGGGTTTAAACCTGTTCACTATTCACTGGGTTGGGTTGGGTTGGGTTGGGTTGGGTTTGGATTTAGGTAAATCCGACCCATGGGTATCCGCCCACACCCATATAGTTAATTTTCTCGGTATATTTAATATTCTAAACAACTAATCTTATTTATGTTTGTGGAGACATGTCTAATTTTTTCTTTCAAATTGTGTAGAATGAAGTTGATATTATCGAGTGGGGAGTGAAGAAACTTAATTTAAAAGAAGAAGCTTTCAATTAATCATGTTATTTATGGATAATTTGTGATTTGCTTCAATTTTCTTGAGTTTTACTAGATTGGTGTTGAACAATTTGTATAGTTAATTTGTGATTTGCTTGAATTTTCTAGAATGGTGTTTTATATATGAATAATTTGTATTGAGAGATTGATATTTGACTTTAATTTTGATAGAAAATTGTTATTGTAATTTTTTACGACAAAACCCGTGGGTACCCATGAACTCACGGATACCCAGCGGGTTGGGTTGGGTTTGAGTTTTTCAAACCCAGTGGATTTTACCCCGGATTTTTTTCACGGATAAACCCATGGATTTGAGTTTGGGTTTGGCAAAACCCGACCCATTGCCATCCCTAACTTAATAACACATTTTTAGAAGTTTTTTTTTTTGAAGACCAATTTATATATGTGAAGATCAAAAGATGAAATACATGCAAAAAGCCCAAACGCAGGCAATTATGGTACCTGACGTAATTATAATATCTTAGAGCAAATTAAATGTGAAGTAGAAGGACACAAATCATAAATAAATAAAAAGAGAAGTAGAATGACACATATAACCTTCCTTCAAATGCGCACAGGCCCTCCTTTTCCAGTCTAACCCCATCATGCCGTGGAATGTCTATAGATTAGTGTGTAGACAATATATAATATCAACATAAAGGTGGTCATGCTGGGTAGGGGTGGCTATTCGGTCCGGACTTTCCAGTTTAACCTGAGACTGGACCGTATAACTCGAACTGAGACCGGATAAGAATTCATCTAGTACAGTCTTCGGTCGCAGAATTAGTAAAAGCCCGAATCGATCCAACCCGTGCTAAAATCGAATTAAAACCGGAAGAGCCGATGACTACAATACAGGTCTAAAAGACAGTTCATGCCCACTAGGCCACGATAGCCTAGCCCAGCCAGCCTACCTCCTCATTGGCTCATCCCGTCGTCGTCACGATCTGCCCATGAGGCAAGGAGAGAGCCTAATCCCAACATTCCCTAACCCTAAAAATATTCATCGCCATTCCCAATTTTCCATTCGCATCGCCAACCAATCCTCTCCGCGACTCCGTCCCAGCGTGAGCGTAGCAAGTGCCGAGTAGCGACTGCCGACTAGCGCCTTTCCCTGACCCCCCCTTCAGCGTCGCAGGTTGCAGAGACCTTTCGCCCGCAACACTAGGGCTGGCCATTTGCACCGGGACCGGATAAAAAATGGGAAACCAGACCGCATAACCCGGACCGTTTAAGACCGGGACCGGATGTAAAATAATCCAATCCCGTCTTTGGTCTTAGAATTAGCAAAAAACCCGGACCAATCCAGTCCGGGTCAAAACCGTGTAAAAACCGGAAGACCGGATTAATAAAAAACAGACCAGACCCAAAAGACAAAGCCCATATGGGCCAAGACAAGCCCACTCTCACTACCCCCAGCGGCCCAAGACGGCCCAGTCCATCTAGGGTTGCAGGAAGCCTCGCTCGGCCTCTCGCCAGTCGCCCTCTCCATCGTTCGCAGTCGTAGGCCAAGTACTCGCCAACCATCACTTCTCCCATCCTAACTTCGCACAGCAGCCGCCGCCGACCCAAACCCTAAATCGACCGCAGCGGCCAGCGAGTGCTCCTCCGCGAGACCGCGACCAGCGGACCACCTCCGCTTCGATTCTCCTCCGCGCGAAGCAACGCCTGCCTCATCCATCCTGATTCCCGACCCGCGAAGCCGGCCTCAGCAGTCGTCTCTGACCCAGCAACGCGGCAAGTCGACGCTGACCTCGGCTCTGACCCAGCAAAGCAACGCCGACCTCGGCTTTGTCCCAGTGATGTGACGCAGGCCTCCACTCCAAGCCTCCGACCCAGCGAGGCAGTGCCCGCAACCACCAGAGTCCGCAGCTCGTCGCCTTCCGTCCAATCTCGTCACCCTCTGTCCAGAGTCTATAGCTCGTCGTCGCCCTCCGTCCAATCTTGCGCCCTCCGTCGAGATTGTTTGGGTCAAAACAGAGTCTATATGCTGCTGAATTTTCTGCAACATGGTCAAAACCGGATTGGGACCGGACTGGGTCAAAACCGGACCGGGTTAAAACCGGACTGTACCCAATCCAAGCTTTGGTCCCTATATTTTCAAAAAGACCGGACTGGACCGGATCAATTCGGGTCAATTTAACCGGACCGGACCGTATAGCCACCCCTACGCGACACGAGATCGGAGAGAAGACTCAGAAGTAAGAATTCCAACTTTATTAGGGACAAGACTTTGTCCGTATAATGTTAGGATTTGTACTCATTATTCCTCTTGTAATTAGTCTCCTACTCACACTTGTAAACTGTAATCTTATGGGTATAAATATACCCTTGCATCAATGATAATTCTCACGGTTGATAACCTTACATGGTATCAGAGCCTCTTGCCTAACAACATCTTTGAGCCCTAACCCTAATCTCATCGTCGATCCCTGTCTCTTCGTGCCGCCACCATGTCCACCGGGTCTGTTACCTCCGGTAGTACGCCGGCGTCTTCTGGAGCGGAGCCAACGCTGGTTACGTTCAACCCAGCAGCCTCCCTTCCTCTCAAGCTCACCGCAACGAACTTCCCGTCCTGGAGAGCACAAATCCTCTCCCTTCTCCATGGCCTCGATCTCATAGGCTATGTCGACGGTACTATTGTACCTCCTGTTGAGACCGTTCTCGAGAATGGAGCTTCAAGTCGGAACCCGGCCTTCACTCACTGGTTTCGTCAAGATCAGCTCCTTGTCAACAAGATTTTTGCTTCGGTCTCCGAAGCCGTTTTACCGTTCATAAGTTCTTCCTCTACTGATGCCGAGGCCTGGGCCTCCCTACTTCGCATGTATGCCAACAACTCCCGGTCTCGCGTCATGACGTTACGCGATCGACTGATTGCTGAGAAGAAAGGCGATCGCTCGGTTACTACCTTCGTTCAATCCCTTCGTACTACTGCTTCTGAGATGGCCCTTGCTGGTTCTCCTGTCGCTAATGACGAGCTGGTCATAGTCCTTCTTCGTGGCCTCGATGATGATTATGCCGAGTTCTCTACTGGCATTCGAGCACGTGAAAACCCGCCAACCCTTGAAGACCTCTTCAATCGTCTGCTGTCTCTGGAAGCTGATTTTACTGCTCGTCGCCGTGATCAGCCTATCACCGCCTTCTCTACTCAACGCGGACGCAATTCCTATCACGGTCGCCGTTGTGGTGCATCCGGTCGCGGCTCAAGCCGCTCCTCTACTTCTGGCGGTGGTTCTCACTCACCTGGCGCTTCCACTCCCTGAGATTCGTGGTCTCCTCCACCGGCTGACTCTACTGGGACATCGCGTCGTGGCCGCATCTACTGCCAATACTGCGAGAAGCCCGGTCACTCTGCACGCCAATGCTTCCAGCTATTTCCCTAACAACGACCAGCTCAAGCCAATCACACCACATGCTCTTCCTCTCAACAAAGCCCTTATTGAAAACTACTTTTCCACTCGTATCCGCCGTCTCTACACCGATGGAGGCGGTGAATTTCAAAAACTCAAATCCACTTTGATTTCCAGCGGCATCACTCATCTTCTCACCCCACCCTACACTCCTGAACACAACGGTCTTTCCTAACGAAAACACCGACACATCGTTGAAACTGGTTTAGCTCTTCTTCATCAGGCTAAACTCCCACTCTCCTATTGGTCATATGCCTTTTCCACGGCAGTTTACCTCATTAACCATTTACCCTCTTCCGCTCTTCGTAATCGTGTTCCATGTACTGCCCTGTTCAACGAAACTCCAAACTACGACAAACTTCGTATGTTCGGTTGCTAATGCTTTCCTTGGCTCCGCCCCTACAGTCCGCATAAGCTTCATACTCTTTCCTAACCTTGTGTTTTTCTCGGCTATTCCCATCAGCAGAGTGCCTATAGGTTCCTTGATCCTGAAAGTCGTCGCATCTTTCTCTCCCGCCAAGTAGTTTTTGTCGAGTCAGAATTTCCAGGTCTCTCGTCGTCCTCGTGTAGTCCTCCTGAAGTCGAGTCTCCATCCTGGCTCGCCTCCACTATTCCTACCATCACTGTCTTGCCTAATACCACTGCCTCGCCACCACCTCCTCCTCCGACGCCACAAAGTCCTCCCTCTATGGTCACACACGCGACGCCCCAGGGTTCGGATTCTTCCTCAGCGGCACCAACCCCACCAGCTCTGCATCCTATGGTAACTCATGCTCGCAACCATATTTATAAACCCAATCCCAAATATTTTGCTGCTCCTGCTTCTTCACGGGCTACTCTCATGCTCCTTCCCCGCACGGTCAAGGATGCTCTTCGTTTGCCACAGTGGAACCGAGCTATGCAGGATGAGTTCGGTGCTTTGCGGCTCTGGCTCTAACCATACGTGGGATCTTGTTCCCCGTCAGCCCCACTTCAATGTCATTGGCAACCGTTGGATTTACGGTGTCAAACAGTTTCCTAATGGTTCCATCGAGCGGTTCAAAGCTCGCTTAGTCGCTAAAGGCTTCCATCAACGTCCCGGTGTCGACTTTGGCAAAACGTTCAGTCCGGTGCTCAAGCCTGTCACTATCCGAACTGTTTTTACCTTGGCACTCACTCTGATTGGCCGATCTCGCAATTTGACGTCAAGAATGCCTTTCTTCAAGGGCCGCTTAAGGAGGTGGTTTATATGTCCCAGCCTCCTGGTTTTAAGGATCCGGATCACCCCGATCATGTGTGTCGGCTTCGACAAGCCATCTACGGCCTTCGTCAAGCCCCCCGAGCCTGGTACGAGGAGTTGAGCTTGTTTCTTGAGCAGTGCGGCTTTCGCAAGACCAGCTCCGATGCCTCATTGTTTGTCTACTCCCATGGCCCGGTCCTTGCTTACTTCCTCATGTAAGTTGACGATCTTATTCTCACAAGCAACTCACCGGCTTTTCTCCGCCAGTTCGAAGCTCAACTGGCCGTTCGGTTCTCTCTTACTAGCATGGGCGATCCTACTTATTTCCTTGGCATCGAGATCATCCCCACCTCCCTGGCTACCTACTATCACAACACAGGTATACTCTCGACCTCCTTCACCGCTTTATGATGCATGAGGCAAAGTCAGCACCCACTCCTCTCACCTCCACTGCGCGTTTCTCCTAACGAGATGGGTCATCTCCAGCGGATGGCACTCTCCACCGCCAGGCTATGGGGGCACTTCAATACTTACTCACCACTCGCCCAGATGTTGCCTTCGCCATCAATAAACTCTCGCAGTTCATGCATGGTCCCACCACCACTCACTGGCAACATGTCAAACGTCTCCTCCGTTATGTTGCTGGTACGACTACCCTTGGTCTTCACATCCGCCGCCAAGCTTCCCCATTCACGCTACGTGTTTTCTCTGACTCAGATTGGGCTGGCGATCCCGATGACAGGACATCCACTTCTGGCTTCCACGTCTACCTTGGCGACACGCTCATTTACTGGAAATCTAAGAAGCAACGCACGGTGGCTCGCTCCAGCACTGAAGCCGAGTACCGTGCTATTGCTCTGGCTACGTCCTAAATTCAGTGGGTTTGCAATCTACTTCATGAGCTTCATCAGCCGCTCTCCACAGCTCCGGTTCTCTACTCCGATAACATGGGTGCTGTCTCCTTCAGTTCGAATTCGGTGTTCCACTCCCGGATGAAGCATCTAGCTCTCGACTATCATTTTATGCGTCAGCTTGTTCAGTCTAAGCAGCTCTGTGTTAAGTAAGTGCCAACTGCCATGTAGCTTGCCGATGTGCTCACTAAGGGTCTCCCAGTTACTCGCTTCCGCCTTCTTTGTTCCAAGATTGGGCTTGCTGACACCGCCTCCATCTTGCGGGGGCGTATTAGGGACAAGACTTTGTCCATATAATGTTAGGATTTGTACTCATTATTCCTCTTGTAATTAGTCTCCTACTCACACTTGTAAACTGTAATCTTATGGGTATAAATATACCCTTGCATCAATGATAATTCTCACGGTTGATAACCTTACAAACTTTCCTTTCTTTTCTTCCTTGCCTGGCTCCTATAGCTTTGCATGTCACTGAAAATGCCTCGGATCCGAGTCCGGAGATCACGAAGAAAAAGCGTCCATTAAGGAGCGACAACAACGTCCACGGAGAAAGCAGATCTGGAGAGCGCTTGCTCGGATGAAGAAGAGAGATAGGAAAAGAAAGAGAAGAGAAAGTGAAGTGAGGGAGAAGCGAGAGTGTTGGAGTCTGGAGAGTTAAGCCGAACGACAACGTTTTAGGGCGGGAAGGGGGGGGGGGAATTTGAATTTTTAGGTTAAAACCGGACATGGAGTGGGACCGGATAGTTTTGGCTCAGTTAAAACCAAATGCCATATAGACCAGTCTTCGGTTTCCATATTTCCAAAAATTCAAACCGAGACCAGATCAATCTGATCCAGTTTAATCAGACTGGACTTGATAACCACCCTTAATGTTGGGTCTGGGTCTTTTCATTGGGATGCAACATACTTCAAAATGAGAATTCTTTTTCTCTCATACTTAGGGATGGGCAATGGGTGAGTCAACCGCTAAACCCACCCAATTATAACTCACCCATTACATGTTTGGGTGGGTGTGGGTCATCGTTTTTGTCACCCACTAAATTTGGGTGGGTGGCGGGTGGGTAGTGGGTGGGTAGCGGGTGAGTCATTACCTGCAAAATCACGATTATCTTATAATAAAATACTACTTTTTCTTATACCAAAACTCCAATCGTGATTGATTCAATTAAATTACAATTATCTTTTATAAACTTTACTTGATTTACAAGATAAAATTGATCATTTTAAAATATGATAACTATCAACAAAATATTTTGTGTTCGCATATGAGATAATTGGTGTTAGATTATCCAATAAACTCGTTTAATAGCTATAAATTTTCTTGATTTTTAATATTGATATTCAATTAGTTTAATACAAACTTTTATGACTCATAATTGTCTAATTGTTTAAAAATAATTTGACTCACCAAAACCATCAAACCCACCAACCATCAGTTGTCACCCACCTAACCCACCCACAACGATATAAATGGGTGGGTGTGAGTCATTTTTTCATCACCCACCATAACAATGGGTGGATGGATTTTGCCCAAAAACCCACTCAGCCCACCCATTACCCATCCCTACTCATACCACTAGTGCATGTACATAGATGAGTTCGAGTAAACTTTCAACTCATCAAAGAAAATAATATAATATCTATATATATTCACGATCAAATTTGTTGATTGTGTTAACCTTGGGACTGGTTAGAGTGCTAACTTCATTGGAGTTAGCACCGTACTAACCACTACAATCACTATTTATTATTTTTAATTAAAATATGATGCTGGAGAATAAGGAGGGGCATATTCGGTATATCAAAAAATTAATTTAATTAATAAATAAAATTTTAAAATATTTTATCTTCCTTTTAGTATTAGGCCTGAAATATAGTACCGTAAACTACTGCTACATTCATTGGTAATGATTTTGGTGGTTATATTAGCAATTTTATTTGTTCTTGTAGTGATTTAATTGTAATTAGTAGTGATTTAGAACTAAGTTACTCATGATGGGTGAACTTTAGAAAATAATGATAACATAATCACTACTAATACGATTGGGTAGGAGTAAACCACTACTGGAATAACTACACATCAAAGAAAAAACACTACTGCCGTACAAATATGACTGCTCAACTGCTAATACATATGAAAATCACTACTCCACAAATCACTACAAACCCAAAATCACTACTAATCAAATAATAATATAGATCTAACAAAAAGTTCTCATTTTTTCCCAGCATGCTATCTGTGAGCGATTGACGACAGTAGTGGTGGAAGTAAGGGCGGCGCATGCTCGTTTCTCTCCATCGAACGACAACCTCTTCCCAGATCTGGTTTTATCGACTCACTGCCGGTGATGGCGACACGGCTGCAGGCGATGGCGGTGAACGCGTACAGGCAATGGCGAGGCAGTTGCAGTTGATGGCGAGGTGGTTGCAGGCGATGGCGAGATGGTTGGCGATGTCGAGGCGGTTGCGAGCGATGGTGAGTCCGTTGCCGGGGAGGCTGAGGCCGGCACGGCTAAGATCGATGAAAGCGTAGTCGACTGGAAGGAGAATCGACGGAGATCAGAGTTTCTTTAGAGAGAGAAGGGGTTCTGGATTTTTTAGAGGGAGAGAGAGAGTGAGAGGGGTGGGCGGCTGGGGAAGGAGAAAAGAAAAAATTATATATATATTAGAATTTAATGGTATATTTACTAAGTTATCCTTTAGTTAGTATAGTGCTAACCCCATTAGAAGTTAACACCTAATCCGATCCCGTTAACCGTCGATAACCAAAATAATTGGTCGTAATGATATTATTGCTTGTCGTACGCTAATTTTATGGCCAAATTGAATGGTCACCTAACACTCAAATGAATTTTCTTTTACATCCAAAACATTTGGTTACCAAAAGTCACATGAGTTAGTTATCATTAGTATTTGTGGCGACCGATAGCCTAGATTTCCCAACCAATAGTCTGAAAAGACAACTAAACTAAAAACGATTGCAAAAACTCAAGATTTACTACGGACAAAATTGGTTGCGATAGCTTTCGCTACGAATCATAGTTTTAGTCGTGCTAAGATTCGTAACAAGGATATATTACCATTTTTGCTACCAATCTAGTCGCTAAAACGTTTAATTAGGTAATCAATATTCTTCTTTTAGGACGAAAATTGGGGCTTAGGATAGGGTCAGTAACCAATGGTTACTAACCTATGAGTAATTAAATTTGGACCTTTAGATTTAAATGGGTCTAGAAAATTCAGATCTAAGGGTTATCAATTAAAAGTATTTTATTTTCCCTAGTTTTCTTAATTGGCTCTTATCTTCTTCGTTCTAACTCGGATTTCAATTTTTTTTTGCACAGATGGAACGAGTTCGTTGTGCTCTACAAAATGAGATCAATTTTTAATATATTTCGAGAAACTTTTTTTTATCAACTACATACCATATGGTAACTTCTTCGTTTTTAAGTCGTTTTTGAAAACGTTTGCTCAGAAGGAACGAGTTCATCATGATCTATTGGATCTATAAATTTCTGGGTGAAAAAAATACTGGATAAAAAATTACCATACTTTACCACTATGGTATGTGATTGGTAACTTGTGGTAATTTGTAGTAAACGATGATGAAAGTCATAAATGACAGTTAATATACTCCTACTATCATGTATTCAACCTTCTTACCATATTTGTATGTTCATACCATCATGGTACGCTTTCTTAGCATATGGTATTAAATTGGAGCATACCATATGGTAATGACTGGTAAAAAATTATTCAATTTTTTTGTACTACAAATATATCAAAGTGCATATCATTTTGAAGAGCATATTTAGTCTAATTTATCTGTGCAAAAAAAATTAAATTTCGACTTAAAACGAGAGAGAAATCGTCCATTAAAAGATAAAAGACTTTCCAGGAGAGAGAGGCTACTGATGTCATGCTGATGTGTACAGGTTACTCATGGTTACTGACCATAGTGTTACTGACCTGATCCGCTCCCGAAAATTGGTTACGAAAACTTTTTTCGTAGAGCTCTTTTCTGTTAACACTCTACAGTTATGACGAAGATTAGTTAGGGACATTACATAGATTTTTAGTATTAAAATGAATATATTTTATAACTATAAAATGTGTGAAAAAGTCCGCTGTCGACCCATTTCACACCGAAACAAGGCTGTAAAACGGTGCGGTCTGGTCCAGACCAGACCACATATACGGTTTATGGTCCAGACCCAGAGGTTAAAGTATAGACGACAGACCAGATCACAGACTATATGGTCTGGTCCAAACCACGCCTGTGTGGTCTGGTTCGGTCTGGTCTGGTCCAGATAGACCACACTCAACGAAAAATGAATAATTTGTTTAGTCAACCACATAAAAATTGAACCAATAACCAAGAAAAATAATTTTTATTTGCCTTAAAATATTAATCCTAACATGCATGAATAATTTCGATACCCTAAATCTTAATATATAACAAAGATACAAAGTAAAAGCATCCCAACTTGCACCATCACGTCATAAATATTAACATAATGTCGTATGGAGACACGATTATCTCTATTATCTGATCAAATGTGGTTGTGAATGAAGGAGGGATGAGATTCATAAAACTAAGTTTGAGAGTTGGGTGTTGTCGTGGGAGTTGGGAGAGTGGTCGAATGGGCTGTTAACACGTATTGACAAGTCGGTTGGGTCCATGGTTTGGTCCGGTAAACCGCGGTCTAGACCAGACCAGACCAAGAGATCAAAACATAAAATAATATAGACCATGGACCAGACCAAACCATACTTAACGGTATACGGTACGGTTTGGACCATGGTTTTTCTAACGGTCTGGTCTATTTTCTCAGCCTCGAAACAAGAATGCATGGTTATTCTATTAGCCCAATCAAACTCCAAACAGCTGTTTTTCATTAAAAAAAAGTATTCAAGCAAGAGGTAATTTAGATATCATATCAGCTATCTTGCTCTCAATTTTATTTTAATAGTTTACACTAAAAAGTGATACGTTAGGTGCATCAAATGGGACTATGATTTGTCAACATAATTTGGATCTTCGTATCAAGTTTATGATAATTAAGATGCGTGGTGGGGATGATAATAAAACTCGAGCAAAACGAAACAACAGAACACGAAAGAGATAGAAAGGGAAATCAAGGGCTACTATTTAAAATTTAAACGTGCATGCTTGGTAATTAGTAATTACTATACTTTAGATGCAATCATATAACGCAATGATTTCATGTTATGGGTCTCCATCGACCGGCTAAAAGAAAGATACTGCTAGACAATTTTAAGATATAAGAATATGTACTATTGGATTTTGGATTGAGACATTGAGTGCTTAACAGGATAGAAAATTTTCTACTTGCGTACTCATGACTGTTCCTCATTATTTCTAACTAATCATATCTCTTTTATTTTATTAATTATGATACAAGAAAAATAAAATTTATTTTTATATACCTTTTAACAAAAATCATTATGCCATTCGATGTTATTATATCAGTACATAATTTTGAAAAATCGTACATGATTCCGTAAAATGTATACATGTACACAATTTTTGTATACTTGAGATGCAATCATATAAGGTAATAATTTCATGTTATGGGTCTCCATCGGCCAGCTAAATGAAAGATACTGCTAGGCGAATTTAAGATATAAGAATCTGTAGTATTGTATTTTGGATTGAGTGTTCACAGAATAGCAAATTTTCTACTTGCATGCTCATTACTGTTCCTCATTATTTCTAACTAATCATATTTTTTTTATGAATTATTTTATTAATTTTGATACAAGAAACAAGATGACATTTATTTTTATATACCTTTTAAAAAATCTCATAATTCATCACAAGAGACATAAGAATTAGTATCAGTATAGAATCTATGTCAGGACTCAGGATAATCATAGTAAAGATAACCTATTTCGATGATGAATTAATGAGAATTGAGAATATCGCAGCATAATCTAAGTCGACGCATCATGTTAACATTAAGACAACATTAAGATGCTTGCTTCACATTTGGGGGCGACTATTTCATAATACTTAACAGTGCTAGTGACGATCACATCTGATGTCGCACCATATGTTGAACAAAAATGATGTTTGTTAGAGAGTGGTATAAGATCCACGATTGAACCTCTCCCAACAACTCGAGTTATTGGGATCAACTGGTTTTTGATATGGTATCAGAGCCTAAAACCGAAAAGTCATGTGTTCGGATCTCCACGACCCACAATATTAACCGTTGTCTTTCAAACACATGGTATGTTGGGCCTGTGCAAACTTCAAACCCATGAGTTGACTTTCGTTTGAGGGGGCATGTTAGAGAGTGATATAAGATACACAATTGAACCTCTCCCAACAACTCGAGTTATTGGGATCAACACCAAAGTATGACAATAGCGACTCCACTCCATCGCAAAAAACCCATTTCTATCTACAATTTGGTCCCAATTGTTTGGACAACAGTGATGAACACTTTTTTTTTTTACAATACAACAGTGCTGAACACTAACTCCCTTTATTGACATGCTAATTATTAGGGCTAATTCCACTAGCAAGTTCAAACTACTCAAAAAATGTCATTTGTGTTTTAAACTATTTAATATAACAAATATAACACGAACTATGAGGCTTTAGGTCTCATTTGTAGCCCAATTATTTCATTGACTGTTAAGTTTAATAGTTGACTTAATGGTCAACGAATTTGTGTTTGACTATAATGACGCGGCGCCTACATGTCTCCCACATAAGTTGTCACGTCATTGACGCATCATATCTTTATTTGGAATTAAATTAAAATTAAAACTGCAAAAATGAGAGACGAAAAGTGGGATCGGGCTCTTTCCAAACCCAATTGAGAACCACCACCCCCCTTTCCTGCCATCATCAATCGATCTCCTCTACTTCCCTTCTCCTGTGCCCCGCTGAAACCCACCGCCATCCGAGCTCCGTCCTTCCTTTTCCCTAAACAAAAATCAATGGATTCATTTGTTCGTATACATCCCACTGTCCCTATGGAAGAAAGGGGAAGATTGAGGATTTGGGATTTGCAGATGGCAACGATCGACGGCAACGGCGTCGACCTAGTAGTGCAGGAGTGCAGCGACGACAACGATGAGATTGGCGGAGACCTGGAGGATGCGACACGGTCGATGTAGAGCAAGGCAGACAAATCTTAGGGAGGAAGGGAAGTAGAGGAGATCAATTGAAAATTTCACTTTGATGGTGAGCTCGACTTCCACGAATACAGACAGAGATTGGCTGGATGTTGGTGATGGTTCGTCGATTGCAGCAGTGTTGAAGCAGAATGGAGGAACTCTCGATTGGAACAAGCAGGAAGAGAAGATGCCTAGAGGGAAATCCAAGCTGCTGGAACACGAAGACCCTTATGCAGACATCTGAAACAGGAGCTGGGTCTGAAGAAGATTCGTAGTATGGGATACGTTTCATGACTTCGGCCAAGCTCTCATGAAGACGATTCGTAGTATGGGATACGTTTCATGACTTCGGCCAACCTTGCAAAATCGATTGTACTCATTGTGCTTGATGGATCAAATTACTAGATGTCGTCTAGAGCCATGAAGGTTGTTCTTAAAACGAAGCAGAAATTGGGTTTTATAGATGGTTCTATCCCATCTCCAGATCGATCTGATGAACTGTTTAACATATGGGATGCAAACAATACTATCATTCTTTGTTGGATTACTAATTCCTTAGAGAAGGAGATTGCTAGAAGTGTTCAAACTCATGAAAATGCACAGATTCTTTGGAAGGAGCTCAATGATCGTTTTGGGCAAGCAAATGTCATCAAGTTATCTAACTTGGAAGATGAAACACATGCTTACAAACAGGGTACTAGAACTGTTACTCAATATTACACTCATTTGAAGGGTTTATGGGATGAATATAGTCAGTTCAACCCTATAGTACCTTGTCATTGTGCTCCTGGTAATCCAAATCCTTGCACAGCTGTAGAAGCATTCATAGAGAAACAAAATACTGATTACTTGATCAGGTTTCTTAAGGGTTTGAATGAGTATTACAACTACATCAGCTCTCAATTGTTGATGATGAAGCCTTTGCCCTCAGTTACTACTGCATATGACTACCTTCTGCAACATGAATAGAAGGTCAAAACTGAAGGAAGCATTGGGAATCAAAAGTCAAGTCAATCTGTAGCATTGGTTGTAGGGGGCAGGTACTCCACCTGCTAAGGGATATAATAGACCAGAAGGAGAAGCTGAAAGAACATGACTATTCTGCAATTACTGTAAGAAGACTAATCATGTAATTAAGGACTGCTGGAAACTGAGAAGGAAGAGACAGAAAAAAGAAGGGACACAAGGGAATCGGTTTGCTGGGTCAGTTGGCCAAAGTTCTGGAAGTGAGGAAGGGCAAGATAATGAAGGACGGCTGCAGGTCGATACAAGCAGCTCTCATTCCACTTCTGGAGGGTTCACAATGGAAGAAATGAACAAACACAGAAGTCTGCTGTAATCCTCCAGTTCCAATTTCCCAACCTAATCTCAGAGTCCAGTGATCAACCGCAGATCTCGTTCAGTGACAAACTACCTTCCAAAATTCCCAAGTCATGCAGGTAAGTTTGTTCTGTCATCTCATAACCATTCAGACTTAGCTCATAATTGGATCTTGGATACTGGTGCATCAGATCACATAACATGTTCTCTCACATCATTTACTCAAAGCTTTCCTGTAAATGATGTTTTTGTGTATTTGCCTAATCGATCCAAAGTTCCAGAAGCCATATAGGGTCAGTCAAGCTCAGAAACGATTTGTTCCTTCATAATGTTCTTCTTGTTCCAAGTCTCACATTCAATCTAGTGTCAGTTAGCAAGTTTACACGTGAACAGCCCATCTCACTTCTTTTTCAACATGCCATTTGCCATATTCAGGACCTCATCACAACCAAGATGATTGGTTTGGCGACAAAAATTAGGGGTCTCTATCATATTCTACCATCAGACCATAACCAGAGTCCACCTATCTCTCAAGTTGCCTCTATCTACAACTTTGAACCTCAGAAGATTGATCTACGGCATTGGCGTTTAGGTCATCCTAGTCAGAGCAGATTTCAGCTTATTCATAAATTTATCCCTTCCATTCCTCTAAAACAAGTTAAACATTGTGAGCATTGTCATTTGTCTAGACAGAAAAAGGCTCTCTTTTTCTCCCATTGACAATGTTGCTTCCACTGTTTTTGGTCTTATTCATGTGGATATCTGGGGTCCACTTTCAATACAATCACATGATGGTTTCCATTACTTCCTTACAATTATTGATGATCATTCTAGAGCAGTTTGGATTTATTTGATGAAACAAAATCAGAAGCTAGACAACTACTGATTGGTTTATGTTCCATGGTTCAAACTCAGTTTGCTAAATTAGTCCAAATAGTTAGAAGTGACCAAGGAAAGGAGTTTTACATGTGTGATTTTTATTTGGATAAAGGCATTGAACACCAAACCTCCTGTGTTTACACACCTGAACAAAATGGGAGGGTAGAGAGAAAACACCAGCACATTTTAAATGTAGCTAGGGCTGTGAGATTTCATTCAGGTGTGCCTCTTAAGTTTTGGAGTGACTGTGTACTTCATGCTGTGTATTTAATCAACAGATTACCCACTCCCATTCTTAATAAAAAATCACCCTATTAGATTTTATATCATATTCCTCCTTTCCTTGCCAATCTCAAGGTGTTTGTCTGGCTTATGCCACCACACCTGCACAAGGAAGAACCAAACTGGAACTAGAGCAAAACAGTGTATCTTTCTAGAAATTCCCACTCGGATTAAAGGGTATAAACTGTTTGACATGAATTCACATAAGTTTCTCTTCTCTAGGGATGTGATATTTTATGAGGATATATTTCCTTTCAAACATAGTGATTCAGAAGTCTCAAATGAAACACAGCAAGAAGATACTTCTCCCATATTTCCTACTCTAATCACTTCTCATGATAGAATACCCAATGTCAGTAGTCCTTTCCCTGATAGCAGTTTACATGTCAGTATTCCTCCTTCCAATCATCATTCAAGTAGTAAAGCTAGCCCCACAGATAGTGTCCCACATGTCAGTAGTCATCTTTTATCGAGTTAATCCAAATTCACCTCTGATTCTGTGCATCATGTAGTCATGATTTAATTAATGAACTTGCTGATATGAATGATAAGTGAATGGAGACAGAAGGGCCTGAAATAGAGCATGTTGAAAAACATGAGGCATAACCACTACCCAGAACTAGGCCACACAAAGCTCGAGTTTCTGCCTGCTAGATACAAGGATTTCTATCTGAATACAAGTTCTCAGTACTCTATGTAAGAATACGTGGGATATGAGTTGCTTTCACCAGAAGCCAGGGCATATGCTATGAGCATCACCAATGAAATAGAATCACACTGTTATGATGAGGCAAGGAAGGATGAATGTTGGATAAGGGCCATGAATGAAGAGTTGCAATTAGAAAATCAAACCTGGGATAATGTTGTATTGCCACCAGGGAAGAGGGATAATGGGTGTTTAAAGTCAAGCTTAAGCCTGATGGAAGTATAGAAAGGCACAAGGCCAGGCTTGTTGCAAAGGGATTCACACAAATTTATGGATTGGATTTCCTGGATACATTTTCACCAGTAGCCAAAAACAACTCAGTCAAGACTTTACTTGCAGTTGCAGCTGCAAAGGACTGGAATTTGCATCAAATGGATGTCTCCAATGCATTTCTGCATGGAGACCTTGAAGAAGAAGTATACATGCAATTGCCTACAGGCTATCCAGTTGAAGGTGATTCAAAGGGATTGGTATGCAAACTGAAGAAATCTCTCTATGGCTTGAAACAAGCTAGTAGACAGTGGTTTGCTAAACTCACTGGAACACTACTGAAAAATGGATTTTCTCAATCCAACTCTGATTATTCTATGTTTATCAGATGGTTTTAAGGAAGAATTGTAGTTGTCTTGGTTTATGTTGATGACATAATATTGGCAGGTCCTAGATTGGGAGATCTGGAAGCAGTAAAAACATTCCCGAAGAAAGATTTTAAAATCAAAGATCTAGGAGAGCTTAAGTACTTTCTAGGTCTTGAGATAAGCAGAAATGGAACTGGCATTGTTGTTTTCCAGAGGAAGTACTGCATGGATCTGTTAGAAGATACAGGATATCTTGATGCTAAGAGTTACAAGAGTCCAATTGACTGTAAGGTGAAGCTCAATGCAAGAGAAGGAAAGCTTCTTGATGATCCAGGGTGTTACAAACGTCTGATTGGAAGATTGAGCTACTTGACTGTAACAAGACCAGACATAGCACATGTTGTTCAGCAGCTATGTCAATACCAAGTTGAGCTAAGGGACACCCACTTACAAGCAGCATACAGAGTTCTTAGATACCTGAAAGGATCACTAAGACAAGGTCTCTATTTCAAGTCCAATAACAATTTGGTTCTGAAAGCTTACAGTGATGTTGATTGGGCAGCATGTCCAGACACAAGGAAGTCAATTTCTGGATACTGTACCTTCTTGGGAGGATCCCTGGTTACTTGGAGAGCAAAGAAACAGACAACCGTTTCTAGATAATCGTCTGAAGCAGAGTACAAAGAACTTGCTCACCTGGTATGTGAAATTCAGTGGCTTCAAAGTTTATTAAAGGAGTTAGATGTGAAGTTGCCAACTCATGTTCATGTGTTTTGTGATAATATGTCTGCAATCCAAATAGCAGAGAACCTTGTGTATCATGAACGTAATAAACATATTGAGATAGATGTTCATGTTACAAGGGAAAGAGTGAAATCAGGTTTGATCAAGTTGAACTATGTCAGAAGTGAAGAACAAGTTACGTTGCAGACTTGTTACTAAGGCTTTAACTTGTTATCGTGTTACTTATTTGCTTGGCAAGTTGGGCGTAGTTAACATATATGCACCAACTTGTGGGGTGTGTTGAAGCAGAATGGTGGAAGAGAAGATGCAGAGAGGGAAATTTAAGCTGCTGGAACACGAAGACCCTTTTGCAGACATCCGAAACGGGAGCTAGGTCTGAAGACGATTCGTAGTATGGGATACGTTTCGTGACTTCGGCCAAGCTCTCATGAAGACGTCGTCGCATTAGTAGTTACCGTTAAATAAATGTTGTTACTTTATTTATATCGTATTAGTGATTGCCACGTGTTGTGGTTAACAGTACATTTGGAATTGAACGTTGTAAACCCCTGTTTCTGCTTTGGCATAAATATCAGGGTTCCCAGTTGTTTGCTGCTGAGGAAACCCTTCGCCACTTTCTTCTTCCTACGATTTCTACAGGCAGCGACTGAGGGTTCGGAGCAAAGGATTCTGTTGTTGGGTCCATCGGTGTTGGGTTCGTCGTGTCTGTATGGGCTGGGAGAGAGTGACGATGGAGATGAGTTGATGGCGTAGTTCGTTGATGCTGGATAGAAGTCGGAGGGGAGAGGAGTGACGAGCGGTGGGAGGAGATGCTGACAAAAGGGAGTGGGAGAGAGTGGTGGCGGAGATGGATTGATGGCGCTGGGGTTCATGGTGCTAGATAGAAATCGGACGGAGGCGGAGGGACGAGGGGTGGGAGGTGTTTTATTTTTTATCTTGTTTTATTTTTTGTCTTTTTTGTTTTTATTACATGGAGAAGTAAATAAAAATTAATATTAAAATTCTATATCAGATGCCACGTTGACTGAATTTTTTGTTCCACAGTCAAATTTGGTCAATCCTAACAGAAAAATAATTCATGTTAGAATTGTCATATTGAATAGTTTAGAATAGAAATGACACTTTTTGAATAATTGAGACTTTCCAGTGTAATTAGGCTAATTATTATATCTATAGAATAACATAGCTGTGATACGCGCAATATTAAAGCCCATTTCCGTTTATTATTAGAACCCAACTGTTTCGACAACAATCTCTTTAAGGAATCAAATAGATATTAGATAGATGGATAGATAGATAGATAGAGCTGCCGATTATTAGAGTAGCTGGGTGCTGGTTGGTGCTGGAGCAGCCACCTTTTCTTTACTCGCCATGTATGTCATGTAGACACTCCACAAGTAGGTGAATGAATTACTCACCAATGGCTGCACCCAAAAATCAAGTCAAAATAACAGCAGCCTCACTTTCAGATATAAGCAATCATCAAATTAAAGGCCAATTAATTAATTAGGATTAATTTACGTACGTACGTACGTACCTGGAGATGGACAGGGACGAATTTGAAGGTAACAAAATCACACAAGGTCCAGTAGATAGCACCATCGACGATTGCAGGGATCAGATCTCTCTTCAGCCGCGCCACTATCTCACCACCGCTCTCACCTTGCAATCCTGCGTTTGTGGTGAAGAACACAGCGGTCATAATGGGTGCAAAGGCGGCCTGACCCACGGCCGTCTTCTTCAACGTTGCCACCAGATCGCGCCTCGGGATGAGCTTGGACATGAAGTTGAACCAGAAGTGAAGCGACGGCCCTAGAACTAGCAGCCCGAATCCAGCCATGCGAGCCACCTCGTATGCTTCAATTCTCAACCCGCCTTCTGTCGACGACTTTATAATCGACATCGTCTGACATATACGCACGCACGTACGTTGTTTCCAAGTCGGTCAGTCGGGCTTCAGCTTGCTAGCTACGGTTGAATTAATGAAGGACGTACGTATGACACAAAATTTAATATAGTAGTAAGTAAAAATTAGTTTACCTGAGAAGAGAGGTCAGCTGCCATGTAAACAAGCGAAGTAGTGACGCTTTTGGTGAATATAGGACGGGATTTCACCATGCCCAGGTACCACGAAACAAACGCGGCTGGAGAAGAGGAAGACGAGAAGGGTGAAGAGATGATGAGAGAGCTGGGAGAGAAGCCGTTAGTGAGCTTGGTGCTCTGATGATCTCTGGATTTACGGAAGAGATTATGATGAGAGGGGTGGTAGTTGTAGTGAGCTCTGGATTGCGACTTCCTCAGAAGGACGCCGTGGACGGTGGTCGCCGCGGTTGGGCCGGCGATGTGGCTGCGCAAAACGCGGAAGAGGAGGCTGGGTTTAGTCGCCATCGAGGTTCCTCTCTTTCTCTGAAGCAACCTCCGCCAGAAAATAAGGGGAAGCGCCGCCGTGCCGTGTGATTAATTTGTGATGGTGGTCGATTTTCTTTTTTTTTTTTTTGACAAACGATGGTGGTCGATTCGATGCTGGGTTTCTGCACTTTGTTTTGAAGTACTCATTTTGTCCTTTAGTCCGGAATATAAAAGAGGGTTTTGTCGTGAGGTGACTTTGTTTATTATTTGCTTTAGGTCACGGAGTGGTTAATATTGTCAATGGAAATCTTCTAACCGATCAAATAGCATTTTTATTTCATATGTGGTCCTTACATCAACAATTTTTCTCATTTCACTTTATATCAATATCAATTTCATTCTCTCCACATCAATGACATACACTTTCTATTTCATATGGAGGGCCCAATTGATTATTTTAATACAACTCTATATTTTATCTAAAAAATAAAAATTAAAGAGATGAGACAAAACTGTGGAAAGGGGCCCACATTACCCCACTTGCTATTTCATTCAGACTTCCATTAAGTGGAAGTTGTCACTTTATGGAATAATCTCTACAACGATGAAATGGTAAATGGAAGTGTCATGTCATCAATGGAATGGTTGCAAGACAGCCGATGCAGCCATTGGTGAGCTCTACAAGTAACTAGTGCTCTGTTCTTCCTTGTGCAAGTGTGGTGGCATAAGCCAGACAACCAAACACCTTGAGATTGCCAAGGAAAGGAGGAATATGATATAAAATCTCATAGGGTGATTTGTTATTAAGAATGAGAGTGGATAATCTGTTGATTAAATATACAACATGAAGTACACAGTCACTTCAAAACTCAAGAGGCACACCTGAATAAAATCTCACAGCCCTAGCTACATTTAAAATGTGCTGGTGTTTTCTCTCTACCCTCCCATTTTGTTTAGGTGTGTAAACACAAGAGGTTTGGTGTTCAATGCCTTTGTCCAAATAAAAATCACACATGTAAAACTCTTTTCCTTGGTCACTTCTTACTATTTGGACTGATTTAGCAAACTGAGTTTGAACCATGGAACATAAACCAATCAGTAGTTGTCTAGCTTCTGATTTTTGTTTCATCAAATAAATCCAAACTACTCTAGAATGATCATCAATAATGGTAAGGAAGTAATGGAAACCATCATGTGATTGTATTGAAAGTGGACCCCAGATATCCACATGAATAAGACCAAAAACAGTGGAAGCAACATTGTCACTAGGAGAAAAAGAGAGCCTTTTCTGTCTAGACAAATGACAGTGCTCACAATGTTTAACTTATTCTAGAGGAATGGAAGGGATACATTTATGAATAAGCTGAAACTGCTCTGACTAGGATGACCTAAACGCCAATGCCATAGATCAATCTTCTGAGGTTCAAAGTTGTAGATAGAGGCAACTTGAGAGATAGGTGGACTCTGATTATGGTCTAATGGTAGAATATGATAGAGACCCCTACTTTCTGTCGCCAAACCAATCATCTTGGTTGTGATGAGGTCCTGAATATGGCAAATGGCAGATTGGAAAAGAAGTGAGATGGGCTGTTCACGTGTTAACTTGCTAACTGACACTAGATTGAATGTGAAACTTGGAACAAGAAGAACATTATGAAGGACCAAATCGTTTGTGAGCTTGACTGACCCTATATGGCTTACTAGAACTTTGGATTGATTAGGCAAATACACAAAAACATCATTTACAGGAAAGCATTGAGTAAATGATCTGAGAGAACATGTTATGTGATCTGATGCACCAGTATCCAAGATCCAATTATGAGCTAAGTCTGAATGGTTATGAGATGACAGAACAAACTTACCTGCATGGCTTCGGAATTTTGGTAGGTAGTTTGTCACTGAACAAGCTATGTGGTTGATTACTGGACTCTGAGGTGAGGTTGGGGAATTGGAACTGGAGGATTGCAGCAGACTTCTGAGTTTGTTCATTTCTTCCATTGTGAACCCTCCAGAAGTGGAATGAGAGCTACTTGTATCGACCTGTAATCGTCCTTCATTATCTTGACCTTCCTCACTTCCAGAACTTGGGCCAACTGACCCAGCAAACCGATTCCCTTGTGTCCCTTCTTTTTCCTGTCTCTTCCTTCTCAGTTTCCAGCAGTCTTTAATGACATAATTAGTCTTCTTACAGTAATTGCATAATAGTCTTGTTCTTTCAGCTTCTCCTTCTTGTCGATTATATCCCTTAGCAGGTGGAGTACCTACCCCTACAACCAATGCTACAGATTGACTTGACTTTTGATTCCCAATGCTTCCTTCAGTTTTGATCTTTTGTTCATATTGCAGAAGGTAGTCATATGCTGTAGTAAATGAGGGCAAAGGCTTCATCATCAACAATTGAGAGATGATGTAGTTGTAATCCTCATTCAAACCCTTAAGAAACCTGATCAAGCAATCAGTATTTTGTTTCTCTTTGAATGCTTCTACAACTGTGCAAGGATTTGGATTACCAGGAGCACAATGACAAGGTACTATAGGTTGAACTGACTATATTCATCCCATAAACCCTTCAAATGAGTGTAATATTGAGTAACAGTACTAGTACCCTGTTTGTAAGCATGTATTTCATCTTCCAAGTTAGATAACTTATGGCATTTGCTTGCCCAAAACGATCATTGAGCTCCTTCCAAAGAATCTGTGCATTTTCATGAGTCTGAACACTTATAGCAATCTCCTTCTATAAGGAATTAGTAATCCAGAAAAGAACGATAGTATTGTTTGCATCCCATATGTTAAACAGTTCATCAGATCGATTTGGGGCTGGGATAGAACCATCTATAAAACCCAATTTCTGCTTCGTTTTAAGAACAACCTTCATGGCTCTAGACAACATGTGGTAATTTGATCCATCAAGCACAATGGGTACAATCGATTGTGCAAGGTTTTCATTGGGGTTGATATAGAAAGGATTACCGAAGACTGTATCTGTAGATCTAGTTCCTTGACCACTTCCTGGACGAGTGCCTTGTGCGCCATTGTTGAAACTTCTGAAGTTGAAAGGAATGTTTGCAGTACCACTGCTGCCTGATCCACCGCCGGGAGGAGTATTCGGTGCCGGAGTATTCGGTGCCGGAGTATTTGGAGATGGCGTCGCCATGGCTACTCGAGCTCTGATACCAAGTAGAAATCGTAGGAAAAGAAAGTGGCGAAGGGTTTCCTCAGCGGCAAACAGTTGGGAACCCTGATATTTATACCAAAGCAGAAACAGGGGTTTACAACGTTCAATTCCAGATTTACTATTAACCACAGCACGTGGCAATCACTGATACGCTATAAATAAACTAACAACACTTATTTAACGGTAACTACTAATACGACGATGTCTTCATGAGAGCTTGGCCGAAGTCACGAAACGTATCCCATACTATGAATTGTCTTCATACCCAGCTCCCGTTTCGGATGTCTGGAGAAGGGTCTTCGTGTTCCAGCAGCTTGGATTTCCCTCTAGCCATCTTTTCTTCCTGCTTGTTCCAATCGAGAGTTCCTCCATTCTGCTTCAACACTGCCGCAATCGACGAACCATCACCAAAATCCAGCCAATCTCTGTCTGCATTCGTGGAAGTCGAGCTCACCATCAAAGTGAGATTTTCAATTGATCTCTTCTACTTCCCTTCCTCCCTAAGATCTGTCTGCCTTGCTCATCGTTGTCGTTGCTGCACTACTAGGTCGATGCCATTACCGTCGATCATTGCCATCTGCAAATCCCAAACCCCCAATCTTCCCCTTTCTTCCACAGGGACAGTGGGATGTATGCGAACAAGTGAATCCATTGATTTTTATTTAGGGAAAAGGAAGGACGGAGCTCGGATGGCGGTGGGGTTCAGCGGGGCACAGGAGAAGGGAAGTAGAGGAGATCGATTGATGATGGCGGGGGAGGGGGGGTGGTGGTTCTCAATTGGGTTTGGAAAGAGCCCGATCCCACTTTTCGTTTCTCATTTTTGCAGTTTTAATTTTAATTTAATTCCAAATAAAAGTATGAAGCGTCGATGACGTGACAGCTTATGTGGCAGACATGTAGGCGCCGCATCATTATAGTCAAACACAAATTCGTTGACCGTTAAGTCAACTATTAAACTTAACAGTCAACGAAATAATTGGGCTACAAATGAGACCTAAAATCTCATAGTTCGTGTCATATTTGTTATATTGAATAGTTTAGAACACAAATGACATTTTTTGAATAGTTTGGACTTGCTAGTGGAATTAGTCCTAATAATTACCATGTCAATAAAGGGGGTTAGTGTTCAGCACTGTTGTCCAAACAACTGGGATCAAATTGTAGATAGAAATGGGTTTTTTGCGATGGAGTGGAGTCGCTATTGTCATACTTTGGTGGCAAAACAATTTATTATGTAAGATTTTTTGGTCGCAAATCGGATATTTGTCCCGTTAGGAAACTACGAAATTTATTTTAGTTTAGTCACAACCAAGGATTGAAATACCGTACCGGAGGTCGTACCGGAAAAGTCAGCGGTAGGATATTTTATGCTAAAACCGTGGTTTAACCATGGTTCAACCTTATTATACCGCTAAATACCGCCTACCGGTTTTGCTTCCGGTAAGAGGTTTTTCAGGTCGAACTGCCGGTACGGTAAAGTATTTACAATCCTTGGTCACAACATGCTGATTTTGCAACAAATACTGTGAATGGTCGCTGAATAAACATTGTTTTGATCAAAATAATCTACATAATAAATAAAAGCCAAATGAGAAAACTTGAAGCCCCATTTCAAATTTCCTGCAATCAGAGTGAATGTGGGAAGGGTAGATTCGTCTTCGCAGTCATTTATGATTTTTTTTATTTAAAGAAAAAACACATCGGAATTGAGATTTGAACCATGGTCTCTTCAAACAAAGATAAGAAACATAACCAGTTACAATAAACACATTTGTGTGATCTTTTCCAATTAAAAACATATAGGAAGCTTAATCAGAAAAATCATAAGACTTTTCCACCACAATTAGCAATCGATATGTCATTGATTCAAGTATTGCATATCGAATTGCACTCTTGAACCTTTCGAAGCGATGTAAATTTCTTAACATAGACTTAATTGTTATAGCTACCATAAAGTAACGATACTTTTAAACATAGAGCTTTTAATTGAATATGGGGCACATGTGTCTTTAAAAGAGGGGTAAATATGAAAAGTTTGAGTGATGTTGGTTTGCTGAACGCAGATGGAAAAGACGCTACTAATGTAAACGGGTCCAAATAGTGCCCCGACCCACTAAACGTTCTACCATCGCCGTCTCTCCAAACTTCCCATTAGACTCAACAACTGGCTAACCTCCTCTACCTCTATTGTTACGGCAGAGCAATTTTTGGAGGGGTAAATATGGAAAGATTGAGTGTTGTTGGTTTGCCCAACGCGAATGAAAAAGACACTACTAATGTAAACGGGCCCAAATAGTTTCTGGCCCACTTAACGCTCAACCACCCGGGTTACTTTCGCTACACCTAATATAATAGTGAAATGGGAAATGAGTTTTCCCATTACAAAGTCCTTGCATCCATAGCAAAAGTAGGAAGGATAGATTCGTCTTGACAGTCATTTATTATTTTCTTATTTACAGCAAAAATACACAAGTGATGAAATTTGAACTGTGATCTATTTGAGAAAAGACAAGAAACATAAACAGTTACACTAAATAAATTTATTTAAACTTTTTAAATTAAAAATATACAATAAGTTTAAATTTGAAAAATCATAGAAATTCTCCGTCACAATTAGCTAAGCCATTAACTCTCCCCTAAATATTTTTTTTTGTATTTGATACTTCTATTTTCATACTTTGATTATTTTAATTCAAGTTTAATAATTAATTCTATTTTTATTTTTCTAATGAAAGGAGAATAATTTTTAAAATTGCAAGCCTAATGTCATTGATGCAAATATTGCACATTGAATTGCAGTATTGAATGTGTAGAAGCGAAGCAAAATTCTTGACATAGACTTAAATATTATAACTACCATAAAGCAACAATATTTTTGAACATAGAAGTTTTGAGTAAATATGGGGCACATGTGTCATTTGGTTGATCTTCTAGGTTGACTTTTGAGTTTATTAAAGATAAACATATTCCTGGGTTCTCGACCTACTAAACGCTCAACCATCGCCGTCTCTCCAAACCTTCCCGACCTACTAAGCTATAAAAGAGGCTAACCTGAGCTTCCTATTTAATTTAGATGGTAAGAGAGCAATGACCCATGTCAAATTGATTGGGGTTGACAATGTCTAAGAAACGATTTAGCCCTTTTTGGAGTATCACAAGATCCTGATAGTATCTCAACCAAAACAATTTTTGTTTTCATGACTGATGTCGATACTAGTTGTTTACCTAGAGGAGGAGTTGCGATGCGAAAATGGGTAAGGTAGAAATGGTTTATACAAAAGGTCATACTATGATCATATAGAATGTGCATTGGTAGAGATAGTCATCAATCTCATTTTATTGACGAAGCCACCGAGGAGAAGAGAGGAATCAACATTGGTACTCTAAATTTTACAAGCTATTATAATGATCGTTACTTTCATTTCATGTAAATTTGTATTATTACTGAAGTGATATTACCTCAAGCCATAAATTGCAGCAAGGAATGGTCGTTTGAATTATTGTGCACTGATGCAAAATGTTATGTAGCTGCCACAAAGGAGTAAGAGTGGACCAATCAGTGTGTTTGCTGTCGACAAGGACAAAAATCGTGATAATGGGGAGGATTCATGACGATTGACGTATACAGATTAAAGAGATAGAAATTACAGAGCTGTAAATCATTTGTGTGTTAAGTGTAGCAGAGTAGTTATGAGTGATTTGGTAGGATTTCACAGTGGTAGGGATATTGACAAAAGTTATTATGTGTTGGTGCTTCCAGGCATATATTGCCTGCCTGTTTCTTTTATTTGTATATGAGATTTTTACAGCAGATTGTATGCTTTGTATTTTTCTGTAATTTTAATTAACAAAACTATTTATCAGAAAAAACTCGCCGACGCATTCCATCGACATGATTGAGACATTTCTGGTTTTTGTTTTCTCAGCCAGGGATTCATTGCCTTTGGTGTCACTGTGGTTGTTGGTCTAAGGCAATCAAGTTTGGGTTTTTCTTATAAAATCTATTGGTGGCTTCCATTTTTACCATCGACAATTGGAGCCAGGTAAGCATTACTTTGGGTTTTTCATGTTCACTCTAGGGGCATCATGGTGCATGGCAATAGTGGCTATATTTAAGGCTAATGGCTTGGTTTAGATTTGAAACATTTCGGCCAACGAGCTTTGTTTTTATCACTTTTAGTAATTAGTTTATTCACATGCTATCAAACTACTTTGCTCCGTTGAAGAATAAGCGGTCATCTATTCGCCAGGTCTTAGGTGCTCTGACCCACACTATCGACTGTGAATTGAGAAGAAGCATTCCGAACACAAAATTGGAGAATTAATTAGAATGTTTCTAGGTTTCTCTCGATTCCAGACGGTGGGAAGAAAGAGGAAGGGAAAGGGGGAGAGTGGTGATCTATGAAGCTTAGAGAGAGATGGAAGAACAAAACGGAAAAAGAAAGAGGAAGGCAAAGAGAGAGTGAGATTGCACATTTAAAAGAGGGGGAAAAAGAGTTAGTGTGAAATAATTGCTCTTCTGCTTTGCATAGAGAGTATTGTTGGCCCTATTCTGTTGAGTTTTGAATTATTTTAGGGGGGAAATTATATTTAACATATATTTTTCATTTCAATTTAAAATCCTAAATAAATATGATTGTTTGGATGATTTTTTTCTCAATACAATTATTGTAATTTATGAGAATAAGGGGTATTCGATAATGTCAATATTTCAGTGATTTTTTTTATTTAAAATTTTTGAATTGAAAGATCGTATATACCGGCTGTTCGACCATAAACTTCACACCATAGGCGAAATCGGTAGATGACATTTAGCAATATGAAACGGTTAAACCACGGTTAAATTATGATTTCAGTATAAAATACTCTACCACCAACTTTTTTTATACGATTTTACAATCGTTGGTTCAAACAATTCTTTTACACCGGTGGAAACAAAAAGTTACAAGACACATTTTGAACTATCTATTCAAACAAAAAATAACATGAGTCAGTTAGCGATAATGCTTAATTCAACCCAAAAGACACTTTGTAACATATATTTCATAGATTTTATTTATTTATTTATTTCATGAAAAAATATTTTATGCGTAAAAATTACTACTTTGTTGCTATATATGTCTGCAATCTGAGAATAATTTGGGAAGTCCGTACACAACACATTGTACAACTAACTATTAGTGACAACTTAGAAGCATGTACTATATACTTCAAATCAATCCACATCGGATTCATAACCAACGGTGTGTTAAAAAAATGCTCTCTATTGGGAAAAACTTAAAGAACATACTGAATTTAATAAGAGACATTTTTTTTATCCTAAAAATTGATTATGTATGTATTATGAGAAGCAACTCTAATATTCAACTATTTTGTTTAATTAAGTAATGAACGAAAATTAGTTATATTTATTTCTTTTTTCATGCAATTTATATGCAATTTCTCTTTTCATAAGATCTAAACACGTTTTGCATAGTTAGATCACTTCAAAAAATGTTATGTGCATAAGTAAGATACAAAAGCCTCATTTTATGCATTTAGAATTATCTATTATATTCATTATTATATTATATTTCTCGACAAAATTTTCCCGACCAACGGGACGGGTCGGGCCCTGTGCTAGTTTTTTTCATAAGAATCTGTCTAAATCGTCTTGTAAAAAATGCTATTGGTCACATAATATAAAACTTAACAAAATGATATTATTTGCGACCAAATGATTTCAGAAACTAAATGATCTTAAATCAATAGAATTAGTTACCAAAAATATTCTGTATAATTAATTTAAACATCTTTCAATGAATTAATTCGACAAAAAAAAAATTCAGTTATGATAATCAGATATTTTAACGAAATTATGATAATACAAATGATATTAAATTCATATAATTATGACTATCAACCTCTTATTACAACAAAATTTTATTATAATCATACATTGTAAATGCGACCATCATTCTTGTTCAACATACATATAGTGCGACATCCGATGTGATCGTCACTGGGAGTCTAGGACTGTTAAGTATTATGAAATAGTCGTCTCCAAATGTGAAAGCAAGCGTCTTAATGTTGTCTTAATGTTAACATGATGGGGACCAGTTACGGTAACAACACCCCTTGTGTTGTTATTGTAACAACACTAGTCTCCAACCAATAGGAAGCTAGGATTGTGATGACTTTTTATTAGATGAGTTGACCTAGTGTAAAATCAAAGCAGGGGTATAATTGTCATTATGAAAAATCTGTTTAAATAAATAAAAAATAAAAAAAATATATTTTTTTATTTTCTGCCCAAAAATTTGGTCGCCGGAATTCTGCCACCGGTCGCCGGAAACTGGTGGCCGGTCACCGGAATATGCTTTTTGTCGCCGGAATATGCTATTTCTCGCCGGAATATGCTTACCGGTGCCGGAATATGCTTACCGGCGTCGGAATCTAGTCATCGGGGCCGGAATATGCCTATCGGCGTCAGAATATGCTGACTGACGGTCACCGGAGTTCGGTCAACGAACTTCGTTGACCGGTCAACGGTCTTCGTTGACCGGTCAGCGGTCAACGACCACCGGATGTATGGTCTGCATTGTGAGATTTATGGTTTGGTTTCTCATATTTTTGTATGCCTTTTGTGGTTTGCTTTATCGTGTTTGTGGTTTGCATTAAGAAGTTTCTGGTTTGCTTTATCGTGTTTGTGGTTTGCATCGAGAAGTTTCTGGTTTGCTTTCAAAAAATTTGTGGTTTGCTTTGCGGGATTTCTGGTTTGTTTTAATATATTTGTGGTCTGCATTAGGACGTTTCTGGTTTGTTTTTGTGGTTTGATTTACTGTGTTTGTGGTTTGCATTAGGAGGTTTCTGGTGTGTTTTTTAAAATTTTGTGGTTTGCTTTGCGGGGTTTCTGGTTTGTTTTAGTAGAATTTTGGTCTGCATTAGGACGTTTCTAGTTTGTTTTTTGTGGTTTGCTTTATCGTGTTTGTGGTTTGCATTATGAGATTTCTGGTGTGCTTTTGCAAATATTGTGGTTTGCTTTGTGAGGTTTGTGGTTTGTTTTATGAGATTTGTGGTATGCATTAGGAGGTTTCTGGTTTGCATTAAGAAGTTTCTGGTGTGCTTTCGAAACTTTTGTGGTTTGCTTTGCGAGATTTATGGTTTGTTTTAATATATTTGTGGTCTGCATTAGGACGTTTTTGGTTTGCTTTACCGTGTTTGTGGTTTGCATTAGGGGGTTTCTGGTGTGCTTTTCAAAATATTTATGGTTTGGTTTGTGGGGTTTATGATATGTTTTAGCGAATTTGTGGTTTGCATTAGGAAATTTCCGGTATGCTTTCGAAATAATTGTGGTATGCTTTGTAAGGTTTGTTATTCTATCCGACGTTCTTACTAGATGTTTCCTCTTAACCCTGATCAAATATGCAATGACGCTGATAACCGCCCATAGCTACGTTGCTAATCACTACTAATATTACTGATTAATTAAGTTATAGTTGAGCTCCTCCTCCTCCATCAACTAACTAGTAACTAGTACTTAGGGATGGAAATGGGTCGGGTGGGGGACGGATAGTGCATATCTGTTACCCTACCCAATGTAGTTCGGGTTTTACCCATACCCGTACCCACACGAGAAACGGGTAGAAAATCAAAACCATGCCCATAGCCGTTCGGGTTTCGGGTATCCACGGTTATCCATGGGTAATAATTTCTCATTATAATTCCAACCAATATGTTAACATTCACACGTATACTCACATTACGTTAGAGAAAAAGTACGACAGTAATTCACTAGAATGACGAAAATTAATTAAAACAACATAATTTCATGAAAATGTTATATTTATATGCTAAATATAAAATATTCTAGGGAAAAATAATGATTATTTCTAGACAAAATACATATGCATGTGTATAATCGGGTGGGTTCGGGTTGGATAGTGAGATAACCATGCCCACCCACTACCCGCAATATTCGGGTTCGGGTTTTATCCGTACCCACGAAAAATGATTCGGGTTCAGGTTTTACCCTACCCGATTAGGTCGGATTCGGGTGGATATCCACGGTTACGGATATCTTTGCCATCCCTACTAGTACTCGAAAGCAATTTGCCACGAAAACATCCACCTATAGGAATTTTCCTACTACGAAACAGAAAGCGCCGCCTCCGTCATGCTTCGGCTTCCCATCCCAATCCATATCGGCCGGACGGCGCCCCATAACTAGTACGCACATTAGCGCCAGCGGCCATGGACCACAACTGAGGAGGGTATGGGGGCAACCAAACCCGAACCAGAAATCCCAGAAAGGGGGAAAAAGAAAGAAGAAGAAAAAAAATTCCTCACACTCCTCTCGCCCAAATCGAAATTAACATCATGCAGTACTACAGAAGAAGAGGCGACTCGATCTTCGACAACTTCACCCTCAACCCGCTGCCTTACCCGGTCCTCCTAATCCTCGCCGTAATCGCCATTTTCCTCGGCGGCTCCTGGTACTTCAGCTACGAGGAGCTCGTGGAGTCGACAGAGTCTTCGATGGGCCTGGGCCTCTTCGTCCTGCCGGTGCTCCTCATCTTCCTCGTGCGCTGAGCAGCCTGAGCAGATCTGTAGTTGTTTTCGGCAACAGAGCGGAAGAAGGATATCGCCGGCGTCTGCTTGAATCGGAAGGAGAGGGATGGAAGGAGATGCGACTGCGGAGAAGATAGATCTGTAGAAGGGAAGATCGGAGAGATGCGACTGAGGAGAAGCTGCAGGCGCTGGTGGGCGTGGCGATGGCGTGCGTCTCGATTCGTCCGGAGGATCGGCCGTCTCGAGGTGGAGGATGGCGAAACACAGCGGCGGAAGAGCGGGGGACGGAGGAAGACGCTTTTGATAAATGATTTGATTTTTATTTTATTATTTAATTGTAATTTTACTATGTTGCCCTTGTTGTTACGGTAACAACAAATAGGCTGTTGTTATAGTATCCGGAGCCAACATGATGCGTCGACTTAGATGATGCTGCGATATTCTCAATTCTCATTAATTCATGGAAAATTCTTAGTCGAAATAGGTTATCTATACTAAGATTATCCTGAGTCCTGACATAGATTCTATACTGATACTAATTCTTATGTCTCTTGTGTGAATTATGAGATTTTTTAAAAGGTATATAAAAATAAATGTCATCTTGTTTCTTGTATCAAAATTAATAAAAAAATTCATAAAAAAGGAGATATGATTAGTTAGAAATAATGAGGAACGGTAATGAGCATGCAAGTAGAAAATTTGCTATTCTGTGAACACTCAATCCAAAATACAATGCTACAGATTCTTATATCTTAAATTTGCCTAGCAGTATCTTTCATTTAGCTGGCCGATGGAGACCCATAACATGAAATTATTACCTTATATGATTGCATCTTAAGTATACAAAAATTGTGTACATGTATACATTTTACGGAATCATGTACGATTTTTCAAAATTATGTACTGATATAATAACATCGAATGGCATAATGATTTTTGTTAAAAGGTATATAAAAATAAATTTATTTTTCTTGTATCATAATTAATAAAATAAAAGAGATGATTAGTTAGAAATAATGAGGAACAGTCATGAGTACGCAAGTAGAAAATTTTCTATCCTGTTAAGCACTCAATGTCTCAATCCAAAATCCAATAGTACATATTCTTATATCTTAAAATTGTCTAGCAATATCTTTCTTTTAGCCGGTCGATGGAGACCCATAACATAACATGAAATCATTGCGTTATATGATTGCATCTAAAGGATAGTAATTACTAATTACCAAGCATGCACGTTTAAATTTTAAATAGTAGCCCTTGATTTCCCTTTCTATCTCTTTCGTGTTCTGTTGTTTCGTTTTGCTCGAGTTTTATTATCATCCCCACCACGCATCTTAATTATCATAAACTTGATACGAAGATCCAAATTATGTTGACAAATCATAGTCCCATTTGATGCACCTAACGTATCACTTTTTAGTGTAAACTATTAAAATAAAATTGAGAGCAAGATAGCTGATATGATATCTAAATTACCTCTTGCTTGAATACTTTTTTTAATGAAAAACAGCTGTTTGGAGTTTGATTGGGCTAATAGAATAACCATGCATTCTTGTTTCTAGGCGGAGAAAATATACCAGATCGTTAGAAAAACCGTGGTCCAAACCGTACCGTAGACCGTTAAGTATGGTTTGGTCTGGTCCATGGTCTGTATTATTTTATGTTTTGATCTCTTGGTCTGGTCTGGTCTAGACCACGGTTTACCGGACCAAACCATGGACCCAACCGACTTGTCAATACGTGTTAACAGCCCATTCGACCACTCTCCCAACTCCCACAACAACACCCAACTCTCAAACTTAGTTTTGTGAATCTCATCCCTCCTTCATTCACAACCACATTTAATCAGATAATAGAGATAATCGTGTCTCCATACGACATTATGTTAATATTTATGACGTTATGGTGCAAGTTAGGATGCTTTTACTTGGTATCTTTGTTATATATTAAGATTTAGGGTATCAAAATTATTCATGCATGTTAGGATTAATATTTTAAGGCAAATAAAAATTATTTTTCTTGGTTATTGGTTCAATTTTAATGTGGTTGACTAAACAAATTATTCATTTTTCGTTGAGTGTGGTCTATCTGGACCAGACCAGACCGAACCAGACCGCACAGGCGTGGTCTGGACCAGACCGTATAGGCTGTGATCTGATCAGAGGTATATACTTTAACCTCTCGGTCTGGACCATAAACCGTATATGTGATCTGGTCTGGACCAGACCACACCGTTTTTCAGCCTTGTTTTGGTGTGAAATGGGTCGACAGCGGACTTTTCTAAAATGGGGTCGACAGCGGACTTTTTCACACATTTTCTAGTATTAAAATAAATTCATTGTAATACTAAAAATTTATGTAATGTCCCTAACTAATCTTCGTCATAACTGTAGCGTGTTAACAGAAAAGAGCTCTACGAAAAAAGTTTTCGTAACCAATTTTCGTCCTAAAAGAAGAATATTGGTTACCTAAACGTTTTCGTGACTAAATTGGTAGCAAAAATGGTAATTATATCCTTGGTTACCTAACCGTTTTAGTCGCCATAACAGGAAAATACTAATTGGTTGAATTATTATTTCGTTTTGGTGAAGTTTGCTAAAGACGAGCGTAGCAACCCTGAAAATCAGCTATATACTACCAACACACTTGGACTCAAAGTCATGGTCGACTTTTAGCCTTAAATTACTCAACTGACGCAAACATACACTTCGAGGATTAAACATAAATAAACCACAAGCGGCAAGTTTTCTTGTTCACTTAAACAAAGAAATTCGGAACTTCTCAATTTCTGGCGCCAAACATCTTCATCTCCACCACCCAGAGTTTGATCCTCGAGTTCAACTAAGGTTGTAGATATATTCCCGAGTGTGGTGGGCGATTGGGTCGGCATGTTGCTCAACCGGTTGGTTCAGGTTCAACACATCATTAAAAAGAAAGAAGAGTAATAATAAATAAAAAAATGGTGAAATGGATGGGCAAAAGAGTAGCTCCTGAAATACTTGAGTCCTTCCATAGAGTATGAATGGAAAATGTTATTTTCTTACTAATTTTGGTATTGTATTGTGCATAATACTTTCAGGTTTAGATATTGCTATATATGTATTGTTTCTCGGGCAAAAGAAATAATTATTGACTAAAGGTTATGATCATGATTTTCTTATTTATGCTACGCTTTTTTCAAACAAACTCTATTTTTGTTATGCCAATTTTCTTTTCAACCATAGGCAACTAAGTGACTACATCATTAAATAGACAAGTTATGAATGATTATTCATGAGTGTTACAACCAAGATTGTTACACCTCTACCAGGAAGCTTCTTGGACTAGGTCCGACCGAAATCGTGCTCCAAAACGGGCTCTACAAAACCAAGGATCTGATTGTTAGAGATGGAGAAGAAGAGAGAGGGAAAGGGGAGGGTGGAGAGAGGCAATGAGATGGTGGGTGGATCTTGAGATAGGTGTTAATCTCATATTTGGTCACTGAGTTTACTAAAAAGTGTCATGTTTAGTCACTCGAAATATTTAATTCCAACGTTGGTCATTCGAATTAGTAAAACGGTCCACCTTTAGTCACTCTCCGTTAGTCTCCGTTAACACCGTCAGTCAATTGCTGATGTGGCTAAAAGAAGTGCTGACTCACCCTATTTTAACCCTCCACATCACCAAATCCGACCCGCCACCTCACTAAACTCGCCACCTCAGTTTTCCAACCCGACCCATAAACCAACCCTAACCAGAAGTCGTCCAATCCACTAGTCGTCGGGCGATTCCTCACCGTCGGTCTTGACTCCGAGATCGTCAACAACTTCTATAGAATCCTCATTCTTCTCCCGCTATTAGTCGCCAATCATCGAAGATGTAGAAGATAAGAAGTCGGCTACGCCCTTCTGACCATCTTCTACCCAAATTCCTCTCCCTCTAGCCTCCATCGCGTTGTATGCTTCTCTCCCAATACCCCACCGTCTGGCCTGCTCTTCTTGTGGGCCATGAGCTTCGAGAAATAGAACCCAGATCTTGGATTGCGAAGATAAGAAACAAAACCCAAATTCGGCCAACTCTAGTTTTCTCTACCTAGTGCCTGGACGATTCATATCCCCGCTGGTGTTTTGAGGTTTCTGTGTTTCTGTGAATCGATGGACCAATTCCGAAATAGCTAGAGTGATGCGAGTTGATTGTAAGTGGAATGGAGGTCGCCGAGCCATGGATCAGAGACTTGGCAGATCAGGAGATGGGGTTCCGAGAATCCCTGGAGAAGACCAGAGAATCGCCTCCGGTGTTCCCCAAAGGACGAAGAATAATATGATCTGAATTCAGCTGGACCGAAGTGACTCATGAACGGAGCCTATCTTAGATGGCGTCGGTGTCGGGGTCAGCTGCTGTTTCGAAGGGGAAACAAATGGGGAAGGCAAAGTCGTGGAGGGGCTGATCGGGGCGGAGATAGGTTTGGTAGTGGGTCAAGTTAGAACAAGCATTCGACCATGGGAGAGGGCAGAAGGGAGATGATTATTGTAAATATTGTTCAGCTTGTTGAAGCTATTGGGAGAAGGAGATGATAAAGGGAAGGGGAAGAGAGGAGTGGAGTGCAGGAGGCGGATTTCCTGGTGGGGAGGAGGGAGTTCATGGCGGCGGAGAATTTGGGGATTTCTAAGTTTGGTGGGGTTGTTACGGTTTACGGTTGGAAAGGGTTGGGTTGGGCTGAGCAGGGCAATGGCTGGTCAGGTCAGTTTGGTGATGTGGCGGGTTAAAATAGGATGAGTCAGCACTTTTGTTAGCCACATCAGCAATTGACTGACGGTGTTAACAGAGATTAACGGAGAGTGACTAAAGGTGGACTGTTTTACTAATTCGAGTGACCAACGTTGGAATTAAATATTTAGAGTGACTAAAAATGAAACTTTTTAATAAACTCAGTGACTAAACATGGCATTAACCCTATATTTTTTTTATGGAATTTGAGTTTTTAATAGATATAAGTTAGTACATTTCATTTCAGACACTAAGTTTCTATATTATATGTAAATATATTTAGAAAAGGTGTATAACGACTCAAACGGGTTGGACTTCAATCAAACCATTAAACTTCAAACAACTTGCTTGACCGGCTCAACGACTTAAACCGGTTTGACAACTTTGGTTATAACCATTAAGATTACAATGTTCATCATTGATGAAAAGTTATAAGAATTTCGAAAATAAAAAAATAATTTCGATGTCACGTTAATGTCATACGAAATTTATCATTTCAAATAATTTAAAGAATTTAAATACACATAATAAATACATTGTATTCAAATGACATTCCGACCAACAAGCTAGTCCAATAATATATGGTAGAGTTTTGTGTATTTTTCTCCATTTCAAATTTTCTGCAACAGGAGTGAAAGTAGGAAGGAAAATTTGGTCTTTCCAATTATTTATTTATTTCATATAAAAATATTAATATCAAGATTTGAACCCGGGTCTCTTCAAACAAAGACAACAATCACAAACAATTACACTAGACAAATTTGTTGTATCTTTTTTAATACAAAACATACACGAAGTTAAACTCTGAAAATCTGAGCGACTTTTCCATCATGATTAGCAAGCCCACTAAGCCTACCATATGTATTTTTCAATTTAAATATAAATTTTGTGCTTTTTATCTTTGTTCTTTCTAACTTCCTCTGAAATTCCCTACATCGTGTAATAGTTTGCGCACCTTTCACGTCCCAGTACAAGGCCGCCTTTGAAAATCAATTTTTCGGTATCTCTTGGCACTACAATTTATTGTTGTGGATTTAAGCTAGGCAAGTAGAAGATTTAAACTCCGATATCAATCCATGAAGAATAGAATGGAGTTCGATAAAATAGAGTTGCATAAGGAGGATTAGAAATTGAATTTTTGGTTGAAACATATGCCTTTTGAGATTGAAGATAGAGTGGATAAATTTTTTGTTGTACGACGGAGAGTGGTGGCTATTGGATCTTTAGGTTTATGGTTATTACAGCTATCACAACCTATTCTATCCTAAGACGAGAAATCATTGATTGATTTACTGAAGTTGGTCGATTCTTTATTCAACCTACTGGAACTAATAGATAAGGAGTGTCTAATTTTGTGTGTTATTACTTTAATAAAATCTATTAGTATATTGGAGGTAACCCTAATTTTGTCGTTTTCTCTCAAGTTTTGATGGTTCTCTCTTAGATGAGTTGTTAGTATATAGGTCAATAGGTGACTTGAATCAACAACTCTTCATTTTTTTTATTACTGGCATATTTTTCCTAAAAGGTGAGCATTGAACCCTTTATGTAGGATTGTGAGGTTTAAGCCTTAAGGTGTCATTTCGTTTTGGTGATAGTTTTGTTGGGATAGTTACAATGTATGATTTGTCCACAATACAATGTTTTTTTAAATTTTGTGCACAAACAATGCATGCATTATTTGCTTGATGTAACATAAACTATCACTCAAAATGAGTGATAGTTAAATCTCAAAAGCTTTTTGTAAGATTGTTGAGATTGTTGATTTTTTCTTCTTTCAACTATATAACTATATGTCTCTACCCTTATGTGTGTTGCACGACCCCGAATAAGAGTTTGAACTAGTGATATTATCCATGGTTGGTTTTAAACCAGAAAATCACAATATCAAATTTTTTTAAATAGCTTCTAATGAAAAGAAAAACAGACATATCTCTAAAATTCATGGTTGGGCCGTCCAAACATTATTATATTTTCCCCCAACGCGTAATAAGTGGTCGCTATAACCTATAAGGGATCGTTTTGTCACAATTCGCAATCCATACTGGTTGCAAAAAGTTATTGCACTATTTTTTTTTTTTTTGTTGCTAAAAGCTATTGCACAATTCATTGTTCTCCTCACCTGGAGAAGTTTATTAAGGACTTGGCAGATGGTCGTAGACATTATTCGTATTAATGAAACCTTCAACTACTACGCACTACGCATAGATTGGTGGTAAGATGCCCGGTTCCGACGAGGCAAACTGCAAGAACTCCAAGTCGGCCTCCAGTGCACTCATCACCGGCTCCTCCAGAGTCAACCAAACCTCCATTCCATCCTTGCTCCTTCCGTCCTCCATCAGAACCACCGAGTTCGAACAATACGGCACCGTATCATTGTCATCGCCTCCTCGTTCTACGGTCGCACTGCTCAGCCCAACCCAAACGGTCGGACCCCACCCGAAATCGGTCTTAGTGAAATCAAACCATGCCAGCAAGAGAAGTTGTACACGTCCGTGTTCCCGTCTTCAATCTCCGCTTGCCTCTCGTAGTACTCCCAAATAGCTTCCGTACCTTTCTCCCCACGCAACCTCCCCACGTAATCATAGTCCATCTCGGCAACGCCTTTCCTAACCACCGCTGCCAGCTCATCGATCCTCGTACCTTGTTCGTTGACACGATGATCATAGGTAGCATCCGAGAACAAGATTAAGTTCCCGAAAGAATGCCTCCTCAAACGCGGCCGTGTCAGCCTCCTGAGATTCACACTCTGAGTAAAAACGGAAGGGTTCCCCGATTTCGACGCCTGCTTGATACACTTCCATACGAAACCCAAAACTGCCTCCGCCCGGGTCGGATTCTCGAGAGCTTTGCCTTTGGCATGGTCCCTGAGATTGGCCACCGACTCCGGGCCGAATTCGAACCTCCTCGTCACCGGCTTCCCTCCACTCCCGAACCTCCTCGCAAAAAAATTACGAAAATGTCCCCCGAAAAGGTTCGACCAAATTTCTGCCCAAATCGGCGATTAGTAGACTTCATCATTGGTAGAGAGTACCCTAAGGACGAATCCGTGATCCGTCGCCTTCAAAATCCAAGGAAAACGGCATTTCCAAAAAATCGCCCGAAATCGGTGATGGTACCCCTTTGGAAACTGCGAAAAATGGCCCCGAAAATATTCTGCCCGAATCGGTGTTTAATAAACTTATTCATCCCTAAAGAATAGCCTCAGCCTGAATTCGTGATCCGTAGCCTTCAAAATCCAAGCAAAACGGCCTTTCGAAAATATCGCCGAAAAATTACGAAAATGCCCCTTGAAAAGGTTCGACCAAATTTCTGCCCAAATCGGCGATTAGTAGACTACATCATTGGTAGAGAGTACCCTAAGGACGAGTCTGTGATCCGTCGCCTTCAAAATCCAAGGAAAACGGCATTTCCAAAAAATCGCCCGAAATCGGTGATGGTACCCCTTTGGAAACTGCCAAAAATGGCCCCGGAAATATTCCGCCCGAATCGGTGTTTAATAGACTTATTCATCCATAAAGAATAGCCTCAGCCTGAATTCGTGATCCGTAGCCTTCAAAATCCAAGTAAAACGGCCTTTCGAAAATATCGCCGAAAAATTACGAAAATGCCCCCTGAAACAGTTCGACCAAATTTCTGCCCAAATCGGCGATTAGTAGACTTCATCATTGGTAGAGAGTACCCTAAGAACGATTCTGTGATCCGTCGCCTTCAAAATCCAAGGAAAACGGCATTTTCAAAAAATCGCCCGAAATCGGTGATGGTACCCCTTTGGAAACTGCCAAAAATGGCCCCGTAAATATTCCGCCCGAATCGGTGTTTAATAGACTTATTCATCCATAAAGAATAGCCTCAGCCTGAATTCGTGATCCGTAGCCTTCAAAGTCCAAGCAAAACGGCCTTTCGAAAATATCGCCGAAAAATTATGAAAATGCCCCCCGAAACAGTTCGACCAAATTTCTGCCCAAATCGGCGATTAGTAGACTTCATCATTGGTAGAGAGTACCCTAAGGACGATTCTGTGATCCGTCCCGTTCAAAATCCAAGGCAAACGGCGTTTCCAAAAAATCGCCCGAAATCGGTGATTGTACCCCTTTGGAAACTGCCAAATATCACCCCGAAAATATTCCGCCCGAATCGGTGTTTAATAGACTTATTCATCCCTGAAGAATAGCCTCAGCCTGAATTCGTGATTCGTAGCCTTCAAAATCCAAGCAAAACGGCCTTTCGAAAAAATCGCCGAAAAATTAAGAAAATGCCCCCCGAAACAGTTCGACCAAATTTTTGCCCAAATCGGCGATTAGTAGACTTCATCATTGGTAGAGAGTACCCTAAGGACGAGTATGTGATCCGTCGCCTTCAAAATCCAAGGAAAACGACGTTTCCAAAAAATCGCCCGAAATCGGTGATGGTACCCCTTTGGAAACTGCCAAAAATGGCACCATAAATATTCCGCCCGAATCGGTGTTTAATAGACTTATTCATCCCTAAAGAATAGCCTCAGCCTGAATTCGTGATCCGTAGTCTTCAAAATCCAAGCAAAACGGCCTTTCGAAAAAATCGCCGAAAAATTACAAAAATGCCCCCCGAAATAGTTCGACCAAATTTCTGCCCAAATCGGCGATTAGCAGACTTCATCATTGGTAGAGAGTACCCTAAGGACGAATCTGTGGTCCCGTCGCCTTCAAAATCCAAGGAAAACGGCATTTCCAAAAAATCGCCCGAAATCGGTGATGGGTACCCTTTGGAAACTGCCAAAAATTGCCCCGGAAATATTCCGCCCGAATCGGTGTTTAATAGACTTATCCATCCCTAAAGAATAGCCTCAGCCTGAATTCGTGATCCGTAACCTTCAAAATCAAAGCAAAACGGCCTTTCGAAAATATCGCCGAAAAATTACGAAAATGCCCCCCGAAACTGTTCGACCAAATTTCTGCCCAAATCGGCGATTAGCAAACTTCATCATTGGTAGAGAGTACCCTAAGGACGAATCTGTGGTCCCGTCGCCTTCAAAATCCAAGGAAAACGGCATTTCCAAAAAATCGCCCGAAATCGGTGATGGTACCCCTTTGGAAACTGCCAAAAATTGCCCCGGAAATATTCCGCCCGAATCGGTGTTTAATAGACTTATCCATCCCTAAAGAATAGCCTCAGCCTGAATTCGTGATCCGTAGCCTTCAAAATCCAAGCAAAACGGCCTTTCGAAAATATCGCCGAAAATTTACGAAAATGCCCCCCGAAACTGTTCGACCAAATTTCTGCCCAAATCGTCGATTAGCAGACTTCACATTGGTAGAGAGTACACTAAGGACGAATCTGTGGTCTGTCGCCTTCAAAATCCAAGGAAAACGGCATTTCCAAAAAATCGCCCGAAATCGGTGATGGTACCCCTTTGGAAACTGCCAAAAATTGCCCCGGAAATATTCCGCCCGAATCGGTGTTTAATAGACTTATCCATCCCTAAAGAATAGCCTCAGCCTGAATTCGTGATCCGTAGCCTTCAAAATCCAAGCAAAACGGCCTTTCGAAAATATCGCCGAAAAATTACGAAAATGCCCCCCGAAACTGTTCGACCAAATTTCTGCCCAAATCGGCGATTAGCAGACTTCATCATTGGTAGAGAGTACCCTAAGGACGAATCTGTGGTCCCGTCGCCTTCAAAATCCAAGGAAAACGGCATTTCCAAAAAATCGCCCGAAATCGGTGATGGTACCCCTTTGGAAACTGCCAAAAATTGCCCCGGAAATATTCCGCCCGAATCGGTGTTTAATAGACTTATCCATCCCTAAAGAATAGCCTCAGCCTGAATTCGTGATCCGTAGCCTTCAAAATCCAAGCAAAACGGCCTTTCGAAAATATCGCCGAAAAATTACGAAAATGCCCCCCGAAACTGTTCGACCAAATTTCTGCCCAAATCGGCGATTAGCAAACTTCATCATTGGTAGAGAGTACCCTAAGGACGAATCTGTGGTCCCGTCGCCTTCAAAATCCAAGGAAAACGGCATTTCCAAAAAATCGCCCGAAATCGGTGATGGTACCCCTTTGGAAACTGCCAAAAATTGCCCCGGAAATATTCCGCCCGAATCGGTGTTTAATAGACTTATCCATCCCTAAAGAATAGCCTCAGCCTGAATTCGTGATCCGTAGCCTTCAAAATCCAAGCAAAACGGCCTTTCGAAAATATCGCCGAAAATTTACGAAAATGCCCCCCGAAACTGTTCGACCAAATTTCTGCCCAAATCGGCGATTAGCAGACTTCACATTGGTAGAGAGTACCGTAAGGACGAATCTGTGGTCTGTCGCCTTCAAAATCCAAGGAAAACGGCATTTCCAAAAAATCGCCCGAAATCGGTGATGGTACCCCTTTGGAAACTGCCAAAAATTGCCCCGGAAATATTCCGCCAGAATCGGTGTTTAATAGACTTATCCATCCCTAAAGAATAGCCTCAGCCTGAATTCGTGATCCGTAGCCTTCAAAATCCAAGCAAAACGGCCTTTCGAAAATATCGCCGAAAAATTACGAAAATGCCCCCGAAACTGTTCGACCAAATTTCTGCCCAAATCTGCGATTAGCAGACTTCATCATTGGTAGAGAGTACCCTAAGGACGAATCTGTGGTCCCGTCGCCTTCAAAATCCAAGGAAAACGGCATTTCCAAAAAATCGCCCGAAATCGGTGATGGTACCCCTTTGGAAACTGCCAAAAATTGCCCCGGAAATATTCCGCCCGAATCGGTGTTTAATAGACTTATCCATCCCTAAAGAATAGCCTCAGCCTGAATTCGTGATCCGTAGCCTTCAAAATCCAAGCAAAACGGCCTTTCGAAAATATCGCCGAAAAATTACGAAAATGCCCCCCGAAACTGTTCGACCAAATTTCTGCCCAAATCGGCGATTAACAGACTTCATCATTGGTAGAGAGTACCCTAAGGACGAATCTGTGGTCCGTCGCCTTCAAAATCCAAGGAAAACGGCATTTCCAAAAAATCGCCCGAAATCGGTGATGGGTACGCTTTGGAAACTGCCAAAAATTGCCCCGGAAATATTCCGCCCGAATCGGTGTTTAATAGACTTATCCATCCCTAAAGAATAGCCTCAGCCTGAATTCGTGATCCGTAGCCTTCAAAATCCAAGCAAAACGGCCTTTCGAAAATATCGCCGAAAAATTACGAAAATGCCCCCCGAAACTGTTCGACCAAATTTCTGCCCAAATCGGCGATTAGCAGACTTCATCATTGGTAGAGAGTACCCTAAGGACGAATCTGTGGTCCCGTCGCCTTCAAAATCCAAGGAAAACGGCATTTCCAAAAAATCGCCCGAAATCGGTGATGGTACCCCTTTGGAAACTGCCAAAAATTGCCCCGGAAATATTCCGCCCGAATCGGTGTTTAATAGACTTATCCATCCCTAAAGAATAGCCTCAGCCTGAATTCGTGATCCGTAGCCTTCAAAATCCAAGCAAAACGGCCTTTCGAAAATATCGCCGAAAAATTACGAAAATGCCCCCCGAAACTGTTCGACCAAATTTCTGCCCAAATCGGCGATTAGCAGACTTCATCATTGGTAGAGATTACCCTAAGGACGAATCTGTGGTCCCGTCGCCTTCAAAATCCAAGGAAAACGGCATTTCCAAAAAATCTCCCGAAATCGGTGATGGTACCCCTTTGGAAACTGCCAAAAATTGCCCCGAAAATATTCCGCCCGAATCGGTGTTTAATAGACTTATCCATCCCTAAAGAATAGCCTCAGCCTGAATTCGTGATCCGTAGCCTTCAAAATCCAAGCAAAACGGCCTTTCGAAAATATCGCCGAAAAATTACGAAAATGCCCCCCGAAACTGTTCGACCAAATTTCTGCCCAAATCGGCGATTAGCAGACTTCATCATTGGTAGAGAGTACCCTAAGGACGAATCTGTGGTCCCGTCGCCTTCAAAATCCAAGGAAAACGGCATTTCCAAAAAATCTCCCGAAATCGGTGATGGTACCCCTTTGGAAACTGCCAAAAATTGCCCCGGAAATATTCCGCCCGAATCGGTGTTTAATAGACTTATCCATCCCTAAAGAATAGCCTCAGCCTGAATTCGTGATCCGTAGCCTTCAAAATCCAAGCAAAACGGCCTTTCGAAAATATCGCCGAAAAATTACGAAAATGCCCCCCGAAACTGTTCGACCAAATTTCTGCCCAAATCGGCGATTATCAGACTTCATCATTGGTAGAGAGTACCCTAAGGACGAATCTGTGGTCCCGTCGCCTTCAAAATCCAAGGAAAACGGCATTTCCAAAAAATCGCCCGAAATCGGTGATGGTACCCCTTTGGAAACTGCCAAAAATTGCCCCGGAAATATTCCGCCCGAATCGGTGTTTAATAGACTTATCCATCCCTAAAGAATAGCCTCAGCCTGAATTCGTGATCCGTAGCCTTCAAAATCCAAGCAAAACGGCCTTTCGAAAATATCGCCGAAAAATTACGAAAATGCCCCCCCGAAACTGTTCGACCAAATTTCTGCCCAAATCGGCGATTAGCAGACTTCATCATTGGTAGAGAGTACCCTAAGGACGAATCTGTGGTGCGTCGCCTTCAAAATCCAAGGAAAACGGCATTTCCAAAAAATCGCCGGAAATCGGTGATGGTACCCCTTTGGAAACTGCCAAAAATTGCCCCGGAAATATTCCGCCCGAATCGGTGTTTAATAGACTTATCCATCCCTAAAGAATAGCCTCAGCCTGAATTCGTGATCCGTAGCCTTCAAAATCCAAGCAAAACGGCCTTTCGAAAATATCGCCGAAAAATTACGAAAATGCCCCCCGAAACTGTTCGTCCAGATTTCTGCCCAAATCGGCGATTAGCAGACTTCAACATTGGTAGAGAGTACCCTAAGGACGAATCTGTGGTCCGTCGCCTTCAAAATCCAAGGAAAACGGCATTTCCAAAAAATCGCCCGAAATCGGTGATGGTACGTACCCCTTTGGAAACTGCCAAAAATTGCCCCGGAAATATTCCGCCCGAATCGGTGTTTAATAGACTTATACATCCCTAAAGAATAGCCTCAGCCTGAATTCGTGATCCGTAGATTTCAAAATCCATGCAAAACGGCCTTTCGAAAATATCGCCGAAAAATTACTAAAATGCCTCCCGAAACTGTTCGACCAAATTTCTGCCCAAATCGGCGATTAGCAGACTTCATCATTGGTAGAGAGTACCCTAAGGACGAATCTGTGGTCCGTCGCCTTCAAAATCCAAGGAAAACGGCATTTCCAAAAAATCGCCCGAAATCGGTGATGGTACCCCTTTGGAAACTGCCAAAAATTGCCCCGGAAATATTCCGCCCGAATCGGTGTTTAATAGACTTATCCATCCCTAAAGAATAGCCTCAGCCTGAATTCGTGATCCGTAGCCTTCAAAATCCAAGCAAAACGGCCTTTCGAAAATATCGCCGAAAAATTACGAAAATGCCCCCCGAAACTGTTCGACCAAATTTCTGCCCAAATCGGCGATTAGCAGACTTCATCATTGGTAGAGAGTACCCTAAGGACGAATCTGTGGTCCGTCGCCTTCAAAATCCAAGGAAAACGGCATTTCCAAAAAATCGCCCGAAATCGGTGATGGTACCCCTTTGGAAACTGCCAAAAATTGCCCCGGAAATATTCCGCCCGAATCGGTGTTTAATAGACTTATCCATCCCTAAAGAATAGCCTCAGCCTGAATTCGTGATCCGTAGCCTTCAAAATCCAAGCAAAACGGCCTTTCGAAAATATCGCCGAAAAATTACGAAAATGCCCCCCGAAACTGTTCGACCAAATTTCTGCCCAAATCGGCGATTAGCAGACTTCATCATTGGTAGAGAGTACCCTAAGGACGAATCTGTGGTCCGTCGCATTCAAAATCCAAGGAAAACGGCATTTCCAAAAAATCGCCCGAAATCGGTGATGGTAGAGAGATCAGTTCCTGGTTTTAAGCCAAATTCCGAACCAAAGAAGGGGGATTCGAGTTTTTGAGAGAGAGATCAGTTCCTAGAGAGAGAAAGTGACGAACAAGAGTCTCCAAGTGTCCTAGATTGATCTTCAACACCATTGGAGGCCAGCTTGAGCTTGGAGAAGTGCCAATCAACGTCCAGAAGCAGGAATCCATCCTTTGCAGTATGAATTTCGTGTCTGATTCTGCTTTTGGTTTCTTCTCCATGGAGTAGTTCTCCCATTCATCTGGGTATGGAGAACCCTAGATTTGTATGTTAGGCTTTGATTGTATGAACCCAAGTACTGATTTTGTGATTGATTATATTCGATTGAGGTTTTAATGATTGAATGACTTGAATCCTGATCAAATTCCTGTTGTTTCTGCTTTAACCTAGAATGAGAATATCTGCCTAGGTTAATAGAGTATCCTTGATTGAAGGTAGGGAGTTGGTGACTTTAGTCGAGGAGCCAACTCACTATTCTGTACCGGATTTACTCCGGTAGTGGAGGTTTTGTTCTTAGGGCCTCAATCTGTCGACTCCGGTGGAGGTTAGTCGCCCGCTAGAGAGTCAGATTGAGAGGGTCTGAAGACCTTTAGTCGAGACTTCAGGCTGTTTGAGAACCTTCCGCAGTATAACTGTCATAGAAACTGAACTTGGTAATTACAATCCGGCTTAACTGCAGTCTAGGGGGAACCATATCCGGGTGACCTCTTTAACCTGAATACAACAGTTTACTTGCTTTGTTAGTTTGATAGTTTAGACTTGCATCCCAGTTTCATTGCTAGATAACACGAACTCACTGAGTAGTCAGCAAATCTAGGACCCGGGTTGACATATAAACCTAAACCCGCTATACTACGCTTTAGGGAGTGGTTGCACTTGGCCAATTCCTAGGGTGACAGTAGAGTCGAGTCAAGTTTTTGGCGCCGTTGCCGGGGACGGCTAGGTTGTTGAAGAAAAGTGATTTCTGTTAATTTAGCTTTTCTTTTTGCTTTGTTTTCTTTGTCCCACTTGTGCCTTCACGGGTTTGTTGCTTGAGTGTGTGCAGGTAGTGCATGACCCGTAGCCAGTCGGGAGGTTTACTGCCGTTGAATCCAGAGATTGACCGCACCTGTCGCCAGCTCAGGAGACAACAGCGAGCTAGACTGGCTACGGAAGAGCGCATAGACGGCCACCTGAGCAGCGATTCTGAAGAAGAGCACGGAATGGACGGAGACTACAATCAGCACCAGGGGAATCCACAGCAGGTTCCCCCGGTGAATCAGGTCCTGGGGAACAACCCCATACCCCAGGATCATGGAGCTCATCATCCACCGCAGCCGGGTCCCACCTTGGAGTACTACTACACTCCGCGGATTGCTGATATCCGCCCGGTCATCCTCTACCCGCCGATCCCAGCAAACAACTTCGAGATCAAGCCATGCTGGATTCAGCTCATCACATCCTCGATCCAGTTTCATGGCTTGAAGGATGAGGAGGCCAGGGTACATCTGTCCCGTTTTCTGCAGCTGACAAACGGGTTCAAGCTGAACGGTGTTCCCGATGATGCGATCCGCCTTCATCTCTTCCCCCATTCTCTGGCGGGAAATGCTAAGAGGTGGTTGGAGACCCAGCCCCCATTGTCCATCACCTCTTGGGACGATCTGGCGGACAAGTTCGTGCACAGGTACTATCCGGCATCGAAGACTACAGAGATTCAGCGGGAGATCACTCACTTCCGCCAGGAGCCAGATGAGTCACTCCGTGATGCTTGGGAGCGGTACATGGGCTACTTCTGGCAGTGCCCCCACCATGGCTTTAGTGATGCTTTCACTGTGGGGAACTTCTACAGCGCTCTCTCCCCAGATAGCCAGAGGGTGATTGAGTCTTTATGCCCAGGAGGGGATATTCTTACCAAGACTCCACCCGAGCTGAACCAGATGATCAGTACTTTGGCTGCCAGAGATCATTCTTGGGGACAGGGTAGCCGAGGCAGACAGTCCCGGGACCGTGGTGTGCACGCCATGGAGACCAGATCCGGGCTCGAGCAGCAGGTAGCTGAGCTAGTGCAGACATTGAAGCAGCCTAACAGTCTGATTCCGGGCAGAGGTTTGGCTACACCTCCAGTTGCTCAGTGTCAGTGGTGTGAGAGCTCCAATCACCTAGTGGAGGACTGCCAGGCTATGAGGGAGTCTACCACACCCCAGGAGCAGTTGGCCTTCATCGCCAATGCGAGGCGCCTCGATCCATACAGTAGCACATATAATGAGGGGTGGCGCCAGCATCCCAACTTTGCCTGGAGCAGCAACACCACTAAACCACCTGGTTTCCCAGCACCAGCAAGTGGTTTTCAGCAGAGGCAGCCCTACCAGGCTCGACAGGGGCTAGTTCCACAGCAGCCATTCCAGCAGCCCCAGCGCCAGTTTGCCGAGCCAGCAGTAGCTCCAGCCCCAGATGACAGGATGACGAAGCTGGAAAACATTCTAGCTTCATTCATGACGAGCACTCAGGCGACTATCACGAGGTTGGACCAGAGTGTAGCCTCACTGGAGGCAGGTCAGCGGAACCAGGGTGCCATCTTGCAGGATCTGCAGACCCAGGTGGGCATCTTGGCTCGCCAGAACACCACCAGGGCACCGGGGACTTTGCCTGCCACCACTGTTCCGAATCCGCGAGATCCCCACCAGCATCAGCAGCTGGATGCCATTTTTACCAGGAGCGGTAAGGTCATATCTGCTGATCCTGTCCCGGCCAGACAGGAGGAACCACTACCTGCTTCAGCACTTCCAGCCGACGATGCAGAAGTGCGGGTGGAGAAGGAAGCCCCTGCTCCCAAGCCACAACCAGTGGTTAAGGAGCATGTGCCCCAGCTTCCCTTCCCCACTCGCCTACACAAGGACAAGCTGGAGACTGAGTTTGCCAAGTTCATGGCAATGTTGAAGCAGCTCAACATCAGCATACCGTTCATGGAGGCACTGTCGAAGATGCCCAAGTATGCCAAGTTCATGAAAGATATCTGCACCAACAAGAAGAAACTTGGGGATCTCTCGACAGTGATGCTGAGCGAGGAGTGTTCTGCTATCCTGCAGAACAAGCTGCCCGAGAAGCGCAAGGATCCAGGGAGTTTTACTATCCCTCTTACTATTGGCAGCATGCATGTAGGCAAGTCCTTGGCGGACCTAGGTGCTAGCATAAACGTCATGCCATATAAGTTGTTTAAGAAGCTAGACTTAGGTGAACTTAGCCCTACTAGGATGAGCATTCAGCTCGCTGACCGTTCCATTGTGCATCCTAGGGGTGTTATAGAGGATCTGCTTGTTCATGTTGGTGCATTCACATATCCTGTTGATTTTGTTATTCTGGATGTAAATGAGGATGTGGATGTACCTTTGATTCTAGGTAGGCCATTTCTTGCCACCGCCAAGGCACTTATTGATGTGCATGAAGGAAAACTGATCTTGCGTGCTGGGAATGAACAGGCTACTTTTTCTGTGACTGAGTTTGATCACTGTGCTATGATTGATGTCACGCCTGTGCATGCTATGTCTGATCAGGTACACGAGCCTGTCGTGTATCCTGCTGCTCCTCTCATTTTGCAGGACCCTCCTATCAGTCCTTCGCCGCCACTCCATCCAGCCACGCCTCCGAAGAAAAAGCTCAAGGAGGAGTGGCGGCCGAAGCAGCAGGTTGCTAAGCCTGCACGGAAGAAGAGTGGAGACCACTATGAGCTGGTCCCACCTCCTGCACCACGACCACCCTGGTCGTCTGCGTACTCGCTCTCCTGCATCTTGCCAGATGGGCAGGTCGAGCTGACTGATGAGGGTGGTCGCATCCGTCGGGTGCATGGCCACAACCTCAAGCTGTACCTCAAGAGCGATGTGGATCCGCTCTTGGAGGCACCTGTTCCTGCACCGCCCTGAGTATCCACCATGGGCGTCCAGCTAATACGACGGTAAAGAAGCGCTTGTGGGGAGGCAACCCCACCACGGTTTGACTTTCTTTCTTTTGTTTTGAGTCGGATTGTAACCCAGTTTGGGGTTTGGTTTGTTTTTCTTTTGGTTTGGATGATATTTTATTGGGCTGACCATTGAACCTAACATACTGTGTTTGAGCTCTTCTGTTCCCCTTTGGCTGTGCTTGCCCCGACTGGCCCGTTTCCAGTCCCCTGCAGTCCGTGCCTACCGGTAACATCGTTCCCCTTATCCTTCCCTCTTCTCCATTGAGGGCAATGTCGAGCTTAAGTGTGGGGGGATGTTTATCTTTCGACTGCATTAGATCTGTTTGTGTGCTTGGAGCCTAGTCCACTGTCCAAATTTTTAAAATTTGAGGGCTCCAAGTACGTGTTTCCTTGCAATTGCCTGCTCAGTATGCTTTGAATTGACAGTCTTTATAGTGATATGCAACCTAGGGAGGTAGTGTAGCACTA